AACATGACGGCTCTCATGCCGTGAATGAAAAGTAAAGAAAATTGCACGCTAATGTATCATAGAATAGTATCATCGGAAAATCGATATCGGCGCAACTCTGTGGGAAGAATGACGAAACGAAATTCGCGCGAAATTATCGTATGCGTGTGTGTATTAATAATATATTAACATTGCGCTGTTACCGCGTTGCTAGGAGCACATCTGTTGTTTAACACACATTCATGCATCATAGAATTAACATGTGTAATTGTCTGATTAGCGATCTACATATCATTGTGTTTTGTTTGTCGTTAATATCATAACGATAATTTAATATGCCGCGGCGAAAAGGTTAATCGCAGTTTATGATTAGCGTACTGTAATTGAGAATGAGTAAATACGCTCCGGAAACGATATATCGCCGTTAATAGGGCCTCGATCTGGGGAGTCTGGAATAATCTGATTAAACACGGTTCCGTAGGCGTTGATAATGCAACGAAATTATATTAATTATCGGTATATTTTTTCATTAATTCGACGTCTCTGTCCGGTTCATATCGGTAACTCACATTAGTGACCGAATCGAACTTCTTTAGAGTTCGACGTAAGAAATCTAAACGATCAATTTAAACTTTCTCATACAACTTTATCGAAGAGCAACATCAAAAAGTCTTCATGAACTTGATTTCTAATATCACGGATAAGTACTGAAAAATGCATCTTTTTTTTGCGCAAAATTCGTCGTACTCTATAATAAGATACTAGGTTAAAACTACCCGATGTTGCTGAGCTCCTTATATCTGGAACATCTAAACTTAAATTATCACAAAATGTCAAGGGGATGAAATCAGAAGAAGGAGATGGGCCAGATTTCATATAACCTATTTCCCGCAGGATCTCAGAGAGTAACTATGCACAATTTGGTCCAAATCGGTCAAAGAGTTTAGGAGTTAACAGACAATTAACATATAAACATTCTATTTTATATATACATATGTGTTTGTTTATAAATTGTTATTACAAATATTGCGAGAGATAATTTGTATTTGCTGTTATACAGGGTGTTCTAGTTCGATTTCATAATCTCTCGTGAAAGCGTAAAGCAGATTGAGATGAACACAAAAGTATCGTTTTGCGATATTCGCAATAACTATCGGGACTAATTAAAGATATTAATTAAAAAAGATTTGTAAATGATAACGCTCGATAGGATAGGTAAGCTATAGTAACGTCTGCCGTCACGTATACTTATATATTAGGCCAAACTGAACAAAAGAGTCCTCTACCATTTTACAAGTGACCACGTAGATGTTTAGTTATTAATGAATGAAGATTAGTGCATTATCGCGAAAATCATGCGCGACAATTTTCTTTAATTAATAATTAAAAATCTACACGGTTATCTAAATGGTAGAAGAATTTTTTGCTTGGTTTGACCTAATATACAAGCGGACTTAATATACACGACGGCAGACGTCGCCATTACAACTCATCTACCATATCATGCGTGATTATTCGTATATCTTTTACAATTAATATCTCGATTATAGCGATTTTCACAAAACGGTATCGAACTTTTTTATTCATCTCAATCTATTCTACGTTCTTACGAGAGGTTGTGACATCGAGCTGGAACACCCTGTATAAGTTGCTATACGGGTGTTATCTTGCATTCGGTGATATCTTAACTATTTCGAAATGTCATTCGTGACGACAATTAATAGCGACACGAAGATGCTGTATCTCCTCACGATTTGTCACATGCATAATATTATGTTAGTTTATCGTCGTCACGACTGTCAGTGACGTATCTTATTAATTAAGAATACTGGTATAAATATCATCAACACGATCTCATTATCACAGAAAATCACAAAGGCGTGCATGTAAAGAAATATTTCCCGCAAACTCACATCTCATTACTGCTTTTATCAGCTATAGCTGATTAGCATTACGCACCACATCGGTGAGAATTGAATTTTTACAGTTTTAGAGGAAGAGAAAAGATGAGAAAAAAAAAGATAAAAGCACAGCGCTGTGGACTTTTCCATCCTGGAATGTCACGTTTCAGCATGCCTGGCAAACGACGCGAAGTTAGGACGACGGTTGGATTTACAAATATTCGTCTGTTGTGATTCAGTTCGGCGATCGAACGAGATAAAAAAGTACTCAGCCGACAGATTCACAGTGTTTGAACAACTCGCCCATGAAACGAGATGTTCCATTAAAATTAAAAACTTAATAAAAAAACAAGAAAGGAAACATAAACTTCCGTTGTCTCGTTATTAATACAAAATTTATATAACATTTATATAACATTTTTAATACAAAATACGCGATAGATTTCATTGCCGCTGTCGCAAGTGATTGAGTAAGCGAGAGAAAGACTATAAATGTCGAGGGTTAATCGTCGCAAAATTATATTTAACCATACATGGGAAGTAGCGTTGAACGTGTAATTATTGTTTAATTGAAATTACGAAATAGAATTACGAACCACGCTCACTCTCGTGGTTCTGATTTCTAATGTTTAGAAAGATGACATCGCAGTATTTATATTCTAAAAGACGTCGATAATAGATTGAAAACTATCGATGTTACTATCCCTGTCCTTGCTTGAAACATTATTAATTAATTAATTTTTTCGTTCCATTGCGAAAAAAACTACTATTTGAACTTTGTAAGATAAGTTTTAGGTTGATTCGCAGTTTGTTGCAACACACACATACACATATATATTGATTTCGAAATATCGATTAATAACGGGAGATGCAACAGACATTTTTTTTTCTTTCACATTTTCTTGAATCTCTTTTCTATGTCAATTTTCCAGAAAATTCTATTTCTATTTCTATTTCAATAACATAAAAATATATTCTTCAACTATTTTCTAAAAAAGAAACGATGCAGTCTCTCACATGCGAGATGCATTCTTCGGCAAACTCGCGCGGTCGTCCTTGCCGCGTTACGCCGATTCGATGCACACGCGAAATCGACGTCATAGTGGCTGGATCGTTTAGGAATTTCCGCGCGTGACACGCACACGCGAATGAGACAAGGGGACAAACAGAGAGACAGAGAGAGAGAGCGAGGGAGAGATCAGCGAGATCGCTAGTGGATTCTCTCAGTGCGTAGCTCGCGACGGCGAAAAAACGGCGTGTACCGGAATTTCCACTTTTTTCACCTGTTGAAAATTTCAGCCGATTCCCGGGGGGGATTTTAATAGGCGGTGCCTCGCGTCCAAGTTCTATTTCCAGGTTCCTCCTCGACGCGCGTCAAACCGGCGTGGCGCGCCACGACGCCGCGTTTCCCGAGTTTCCGGCGCCAGCGTCGGTGTGCGTGACGCTCGATATTTTAAGTTCCACCCAGGATACAGGGCGCACTCCCCGCAACCGATTCTCCCTCCCTTCTTCGCTCCTTTCCCCGCTCTCCCCTCCCCACCCTTTCTCTGTCTGTGCCACCGTTTCCCTTTTGCCCTCCTTCGTAATGTTTCACCTACTACTTCATGTTGTCACTTAATCCCAAAAGTCAACGAGAATCGGTCTCCGACGTATTCCTTGCTCCTGCCTCTTCTTATTTCACGAAAATTACCGTAAAACGGTGTAAATATCGTGTGTGTGCTTGCCGCTATTAAAGTTCCTTTTATTTTTACCCCCTTGAGTAACGCGCATTCTCACATTTTCTCATTTTCTCGCTCGAGTTACGTAATAAGAAGCTCCTCATGCTCTCACAAGCCTTTCACCTGCAGAGAGTACAATTTTTTTATTAAAATCGTGGGTTTTCTTTAATGCTTACAAATGTCGAGAGAGATATTTGACAATTGACTTTGACAATGAGAGTATCTGACGATGAAAACTTTTATCTTATTTGTCGAGGAAACTTTTCCAAAAGAGCTAGACTTCGATTAACGACCGATATCTAAGTATCTACTGCTTCAGAACCTTTCTGAAACTTGGACAAGTGCATCTCTCTGTACTCCTTCTTTGACGCAAAAATTTGAAAAAGATGAATTAATCTAACGCGATCGAATTGTAATTGAATCACAACTAGATTTGCTGACTCGATAATTTATGTCGAAAAACATGAATGCCTGCGGAGTATTCTCTTTAATACTCTCTAATATTTAAATATATGTTAATCAATGTAATATCAGTTTATTTTTGTCATTCATTTATTCGTCCATTCATTTTCATTCGTCGCGACAATTCTCCACTACTCTGGCGCTAGCCAGACGGCGTGCGTTCTCTCGAAAATCGATGTCGGCTCGATCCTCGGCGAAGGCAAACACCTTTCTCCCTGTCCCCCTTTTTCTTCTTTCTTCTCCCTTTTCTCGCTTCTCCTTCTCCCTCCTCCTCCTTCTCCTCTTCTTCTTCTTTCTTCGCGAGAGAGCGTCCGCAGGAATCGGCCCTCGTGTTCACGCCACTATCGAACTTCCGCGTGGCTAGCTAAGCGAATACCTCAAGGCGCACGGCAGGATTCTTTAAAGTCGTTAAAATGCGGATTTTGTAAATCGCGTTTAATTCACGGCCGCCACGGGGTCACTCGAGCTCCTCGCTTCGCTTTTTATCGCGTACTCTATTTATGTAACTGGTTTACGAATAAACAAATAGGCAAGCAAATGGATCACCTCTTTACATCATCGCTGGAAGCAAGTAAATACTGAAATTAGACGGAGAAAAATATAAACCTTAAACCTCGAATCCTTCTGATTCTGTCCTTTTCTTATTTTCACCAAACGATTCCCCTATCCTTTCTCTTATCCTTTCTTTCATATCTTCTTGAATCTCTCTTCTGTGTCAATATTCTCTGGAAATTTCTATTTCAATGATTTAAAAATGCCTATCTTACTTGGTGACACTTTTTTCTCTTTCTACTTCCGAGTATTACGTGAGAATATTATTTATTCGTCAATTTACAGCACCATATAGTTGTAAATCTATTTATTATTACTGATAATAGAGCAATATTATTAAAATTGATGTTTTCGGCGGCGCAGTTAACTCAAGATTTTGTTCCTTCAGTTGTTTTAGGCCCGAATGATGACGCTAGGTGATCCCACGGGAAAGCATGAGGGAAAGGACACCCTCCGCCGACGACACCCCGAAAAGGGCTCCACCGGCACCAACCAGAGGTGAGTCCCTCAGCGACATTTCAATAAAAATTTTCACTTTGTGATTTCGCACGATAACGAGTAAAATCGAGGATAGACGATGAAGAACGGCGGATCAATATGGTGAATAATTCACATGACTGCGCGTTTTTTTAACGCTCGACTTGTTGAATTGCAAAAAATCTGCTTTCTGGAAAAAAAACGCAAAATTTTTGCTCGGAAAACACTCGTTGGTTGTTAGGTTAAGGATCTCAATTAACGCCGAGTCAATGATTCTCATAATTCTTCCGTATATACTTACAAGGAGATATCCCATATACATCGCATGTTTCTTCGATGCTTTTTTTAATGAAATTTTTCAGATTAACTTTTTCTCGTCGGAAATGTTCATAATATAAGCTGAGTAGGTCCGCATTTAATATTGAATAAAGATATTTCAACATTTAACAACACATTGATCAAACTTAAAAAAAAACTCAAATAAATAACAAAAAAATCGAGAAATATAATTTACATCTATTTTATACATGTTTATTTATGTTTTCTTTTATACAACATAATAAGATACTGCGATAGTTTTATCAAGGAGAAATTGGTTCCAAATTCAACGAAAAATTCTTCGCGACAATTTGCTACGTGGAAGTCAGTAAGACGTGTAATTTCAGGATTGTCACTCTTCTGGAAAATTGCAAATTTCTCTCTCTTTTTCTCTCTCTCTCTCTTTCTCTCTCTCCCTCTTGAAAAAAAGGATCTAATAAACCCGAGGAGAGGACAAAAACGGTGACAGTCCCGGGTTCTAATCCAACCTCGCGTAAAACTTGCGACTCAATTGTCGACCCCATAAACGCGAACGTACGGCTGTCGGATTGCGATGGTGTACCGATTGTTTTCAAGGCCCTGGCGCACGCTATGCCGCGTATATTTGTAGGAGCATGCAAGCCCGAAAAACTCATTTCTTCCCAGCAAAGTCCCAGAGTGGCGGAAGGTTGCCGTGGTGAATAACTTTATAAATAAATGCAAATTCTTCTCGCAGTCATGCGCATACAAGCGCTCATACGTGCGAAAACACACGTGCAAAAGAAAGATTCTCGACTCTTTCTTTTTACTTGAGTCGTTTTTACGGTCAGAGGTACAAGTCCGAGGGGAAAGTTCACACCCTGAAAAGCAGGAAACAGAAAGGCATGAGCCAATCAGAACTCGCGCCGGTAGAAAAGCAGAAACTGTCGACCACCACCTGACCACCAGCGCGAGTTCCGATTGGCCTCTGCCTTCCTGCCTTCTGCCAGGGTGCGAATTCTCCCTAACGATTTTTCATTACAGCCTGTATTATCACTCGCGTGTACTTCATTTGTAAATTTGTTCTGCGAATGACTGTAACATTCTGGTGCGTCGATTCGACTTATCTCGTCCTGCAACCTGCAAAACTCGTTCCTCGATCATGGTCGTTCATAAATACATCGAGACCGATTATTTCGGATTTGCTTCCTTCTGCGTCTCGGCACGGCGGTCGTATTTTTTTCGATGCGTGGCTTATCGGTATCTGAGTGCGCCCGCGCGCGTACACGCGCGTGCACCGAGTACGGTATTCTCGCGCTCGTTGCATTGCGTAACGCGTCATCCACGAGACCCGCGGCAGTTATATGTATGCAAACACAAGGGATTTCGAAAGTAGTCACGCTGGTCGAGATCGTAATCGCAACGTTGGCGGCGGCGGCGGCGGCGGCGATGATCGCGACGCCGCAATGCCGCGGCTAAATAATTATCGAACTTGTTCAGATGCGACGACGACGACGATAAATCTTGCCGATAAACGCTGCGAGCGATAGCTGCTGCACCTAGCGCGCGACCTCTCGATCAGAGAGACGAAGAATCCGGTGCGGCGGCGAAGGTGAAGAGGCGAGGCCGCCGCGAATCGCGAAGCCCGCTTTAGATGCGATTCCATATTTAAAGAACCTTACAAATCGCGGACTTACCTTACTTTCCCACGTCGGTTCCTTTAATGGCCCCCTTTCGGACTTCGCGAACGATCGATATTTCTTATCAACGTTGCGGTACTGCACCTTCGCTTATCTCGGGTACACGAACGCGATATCAGGGAAATTTTCATGGAAAGGCTGTTTCCAGCGGGAAAAATATTTCCCGCGCTACCACCCTGCGAGAATGTAGCCAGGAAGATGAAAATTTCTCGGAAAATTCTCACGGGAGCGCTGCTCGAGAGGGAGAAAATTAGCCGGAAATTCTATGCAGATACAATTTCCATGTATCGCGAAACTTACGTTGACATTATTTCCCGCGGAAGGTATTTCATAAGAGAATTGAGAAATTTTCGTAATGAGGGAAACGCAGACTAAGGAAAGACCGCGAGAAATAGCTGATTTTAATTTGAAGCGTGACGAAGGACATGTGCATTTATAATATCGCAGCATAAATTTTCTCGGCAGTTTTTAACGTAATTTGAAGTTAAGCTTTGAGTTAGTCTCTCTCTCTCTCTCTCTCTCTCTCTCTCTCTCTCTCTCTGTCTGTCTGTCTGTCTGTCTGTCTGTCTGTCTCTCTGTCTCTGTCTCTCTCTCGCTTTCTCTCTCTCTCTCTCTCTCTCTCTCTCTCTCGACTGCACACACCCGCCGGCTTAGAACCTAAAGACTAATCGATAACGTGTCAGTGGGGGTGGTAATATATCGATATTGATATTGTTAACAAGTTCGCGATAGGTAAATCATTAATTATCATTGTCGTCGACGCCTTCTGCAAAACGAAGCGGATGGTCGGTCGAAGGGATTGTCGTCGTGTTACCAAGTCGGCCGGTTTTTCCCACCTCGGGGCTGCTGGTCGTGTCGGGGGCTGCGATGTGTACACGTGTGTGCGCCGCGCTATACAGTACATGTACGCGGGTGTGCGCGCGAATGTGTGTACGCGTATGTACGCTCGTCTCTCTCTTTCTCCTCCCTTTCGTAGCACACGCTACTCGTACAGCCGTAACCCCTTTCGACGTGGCAGAGGGACGGTTATCGATTCTCGCAGCCTCCCTTCTCCCCGTCTTCCGGATAAAAAAGTGTCGGCAGAGGCATGGTCGAGGAGAACTCTCTCTCTCGCTTTCTCTCTTTCGTTCTTTTCGATCCTCTCTCGCGGTAAAATATTACAAATCGTCATGTATATTTCTCTATTTTCGGTATTCTGAGATTGTATCTTTTCCCGAAAAGTACATGGATTTTTCTAAGCAACGAGAGAATGAACAACTCCTCGGCACGAGAATAAGAGGAATCTATGATTCGCAAGGTTCATCTTAAAGATTAAGAGATTTTCAGTTTAAAGTAGGTCTTGTTGTGGATTTATCTCATTCTTAGGCTGATCCCTTCAGTTACATAAATTGAAAGAACGAGCGGATAAAAGCGAGTACGTTACATAAGATGAAGGTTCTGAGGTGTGTGCCGACGTGCTGAATTACAGCGGGAGGATAATCCTCGGTCTCACCAACGTCGGTTAACATGAACTAATATACGTACAATAGTTCTCTTCTTGTCGTTCTTCATAATTCCAATTCTGTGCAAACAATGGAAAGTTGACAAACAACACCTTGCATAACATGGCGTTAATATCAATGTTCCAGATTCAAATCATGATCTTTAAATGCTGGATATGTAAATAGAAAGAAACATGAAGAATCGTTGGCCGAAACTTAGCCTAGAATTAGACATATTGTCGAGGTGCCGTGTTGAAAGGGGAATCCGTCGCATCAAGATCGATTAAACAGAATCAACGGTATCGTACAACGAAATTACGCGGAAGTTCGCGATGACCGTAATACCTTAAATAAACAAACGAGCGTCCTGCTTTGTTTATTTCTCAATGGCAGATTTATCGTCTCGGAGTGTTCGGTTCTTCAAACAATTATCTCGCACAATCCGAAAATAAATTAAGCGATATACCTCGCCTCGAAGCCAAACAGCTCTCGACACCGTCCCAAGCGCGCGAGATACCGAGGTTCCCTGCGAATACCTTTCGATATCTCGCGGAAGCGCTTCGCGAGAGTACGACAGCTACGGTTAAAGAGAACAATTCTTGCAGAGGCGGCATCGACGGACGTAGTTGGTAGCGGCGAGACACCGAACGACGACCCGGTTGAGGGTTACCGTACGGCGAAGTTGTCCGTTTCCTCTGCATCCTGCACTACGGCGTCATCTGACATGGTGGCGTCGACACAGAGCCTAGACGACCCTGGTGTCAACCATCCAGCCAACGCGAGCAGCGGCGATCGCCAGCAGCACCAGCAACAACAACAGCAGCTGCAGGAGCGTTACGGTCACGCCTACAGATCGACTCAGACCGCCCAGGACAAGCGATCTCGGCTCAGCAACGTGATCAACAACTTGCGCAAGAAGGTACCGGACGGAGCTACCAGGAGCACGGCGGCTCTCGACTCGCCGAGGGAGGAGGAGGACGACCGGAGTAGCGTCGAGAGGAACCTAGAAAACCTGCAAAAGTATATGATGACGATGCTTAGCGACGTGATCGATGATGACGACGAGGAGGACAAGGAGGACGTCGTGGGTGGCAAGAACGCGGACAAGACGAAGGAGCCTTCGGGCGAGGGCGATATCGAGGCTGCCGTTGTGCCGCAATTGGACGACACCACGACGATCGGCTCGGGCGGCACGGAAAAGAACATCGAATCCTTAGAGACAGTGGGTTGTTCGGAAATAATGGAAGCGACGAGGGAGAGTGTCGAAGATTCGGAAGTTAGAATGGAACAGGAGTCGAAGGAACCTCTCCGACAAACGGAGGAAAGACGTGTAGATGTCGACGAGAAAGAATCGTCGGATAGCTGTGATGAAGGGAACCGGGATGTTCCACGGGAAAAGAAGGAGGCTCGAACTCTGGACACGGTCGTGATAGACAGATTGAGCGAGCATCAAGCGGACGAAAGGGCGAACGTCGACGATGGCAGAGGGGGAGACGAGGAGCACGAAGATGCGATGTTGCAAAGAATCTGCAAGGAAACGTTACATGACCTAGTGAGTAATATCGAGATGAAGGAGAATGCGACGAAAAAGACCAGTCAAGAGCTGTTTATGACTAGTCTACACTGCAGTCTCCCCTTGGACAAGGTCGTGTCCGTGCTTCAGAACTGTCAGAAAGGCGAGTCGCTTATCCCGCGAGTACCCTCGCCGTCTTCGAGCTCGCCGTCCACAGCAAGCAGCGTGGCGCAGAGTTCGACGCAGAAGCCGTCGCCGTCGAAAACGTCGCCCACCACCGCTCCAGTCCGGTTACTCTGTCTGTACTGCGACAGGAAGTTCTTGTCTATATCCTTGCGACAGAGACACACCGAGAGAGTGCACCAACTCGGCGGTGGCAGGAGATCAGAAAGAAATCCTCGAAAGCCTTCTCAAAACTGCCAGTATTGCTCGAAGAGATGCGCTGACACGTTAGAAGGACTGTTCCAACACATGGTCAGCAACCACGAGGACAAGTATCACGCGTGCGTTCAGTGCTCGACGAGATTTCCCACCCGGGAGGCTTTGATGGGGCATACGAGCGAGATACACGGCAATGGTGTCGAGAAGACCGCTCAGGTAAATACCTTGGAAATCGATAAGGATTGTCCTCTCTTTTTCGCACGTTACCTATATTTTAAAATAGAATCTAGATCTTCGTTCGCGAGTTTCTTATTTTTCATAGAGATATATTACCGTGCTCGGTCTTCCTTATTTTCCTCCACAACTTCTGTTACAGATCGGTTTTATAAAGAGAAACTGACATGCATTTCTTTAGTTATACCCGACTGTGGATTTTCAGATACTTGTTAGATTCTCTGAGTATTCTCGTTTACAATTAGAGGCGGAATTTGTTTTAATCAGGAAATCAATAGATGTGTAACAAAACTCAGAAATACGAGAATATTGTTCACTTTATATTCAACGTTGAGTCTTCAATTCGAAAACAATTCATCTCGTTCAATTGACATCAGACCAAGCGTCCCTTTCCCTTCCAGCCGGAAAAAAGCAAAGAAGGCTCGCCCTGCAAGGAATTCTGCGGCCAAAACGTCCGCGACAAGGCGAACGTGTCGTCAGTCAGAGAGAGAAGACCTGAAGAGAGCGAATCAGAGAGTCAAGGCGACGCTCGATCGGACAGCGGTCGAACGAAACTCATCGCGACGCTAGAATCCGTTGATAACAAGCCGGCCAGTCCCGAGTTCGACAGTTCCTTCTACACCAACGTGAGCTGTAACATTCGCGAGAACCTGCTTCACCACCTGGATGGTAAGCTGCAGCAAACGATAAGCAGCTTGTCGTCGGCATCCACGTCTGTCACCACCGCCGACACAACGACGACGACGACGACGACGACGATGACGACGACGACGACGACGACGACGACGACAACGATGTCGACAACGACGTCGACGACAACGACGGAACCGAAGTTGCAGCAGCAGCAGCAGCAACAACAAACGCAACAGTCTTACTACGAGCACAGCGTTAATCAGATTCAATTTCCCATCGACATTTCGCTGACCGCGGCGACGCCGGTCTACAGTAAAGATTACACGACTGAGGAGTACGAGAACTCGAGTGAGTACGCTCGTAAAGCCGGTAAGACCAGTAGCGGATCGCGACCGCGCAGAGTCTCCTTCGAGAAGTACAATTTTCCGCGGAAGTATGACGGCAGGGGTCAAGGCTGGACGTGTTCCATTAAGGATCTCAGCAACTTCGACATTTCCACGCAGCTGTTGCTCAGTAAGAAGCAACAGCTGATCAAAGAGCGCCTCACTATTAGCAGGGTAGGTCAGACCTCCGTATCGCCGCCTAGCGAGACCATCGAAGTGCGGGAATCGGAACAGACCGAATCTGTTATCGAGTCGGCGACGACGATTAAACAGGAAAGCACCGAGGACGGCTGTACAATCGACGCGATCTGCTGTGACCTCGGTGAACCGCCTCCATGTGAAGTCAAGCAGGAGTCGACGACGGTGATGACCGTGGAATCATGCATCACGTCGCCGAGTTCGACCAAGTCTACGGCAACTACCACAGAGTTCAACACCGAATTCGCGGATTTTATGAAAGTGATTAGACGGGAACAGAGCGCTAATGAGGCCGCCAGCACCCAGGAGGAAGTCGTACACGCAGAGTTGAGTGGCGAATGGGCGAGACCGCGGATTTACATCTGTGGCGCTTGCGGCTCTAGACATGTAAGCGTGTTTGTCATTTCTGTTTCTTTTTTATCATATTAAATATTGCGCAATCAAAATATCTTGCCTAGAAATGCAGATAATACAAATTCATACATAACATCTCAGTTCTATTATTACCAGCAACCAGTTTGCAATCTATTTATAAGATGATCTAATAAAACTTACTAAAACTTGCTTCAAACGCGTTTCTATTTTAAATTGTTGAAAAATAATATTAGGCCTGATTAATATTAGGCGATAATATTAGGCGTTCGGGGAGATGCTATTAAGAGCGCTATGAGTGTGCTCTGTTCTTGCTTGTTCTTGAAAGTTAAACAAGGACAGAAGACGCTCATAGCGCTAAATAGTGTCTCCCCAAACATGGTGAATACATGTAATTAATATTGATGAATAATTTTGTGACGAGGTAAAAATATAAATTTATATCTATTACTTCGAAAATTTACGAATGGTTTAACGGATAATGTCTAACAACTTCACAAGAAACAATGTTCAAAGAATTGCTGTGTTGTACAGGCATGACCATTACAAGGATTGGCATAACTTTAAATTATAAACAGTATCTAAATCTGTATATGTATATAAGATTTAAGATATTGTCGCATACCGGACAGTGCATTTCAATTGGCATGCATGCAGTCTAGAATTTATCAAACAGTGTACTTGATCTTTGACATTGGCGCGATACATTGGAACCGATGGCAAGCGCTCACTCTGCTCATCCAAATCATTGATTCACTCGTACATTTCGTGCACTAATTTCTACGGTGATCTGTTAACAGCGACAAGAATAATTAATTAACTACGATCTTTATATTGTTGAATCGACATTGCTATTTCAATTTCATCTCAGCAAATTGTCAATAGTAGCAAAATAACGTCTGTTATTTTTCACTTCGTAATACAATGCAGCGTGAAATTTCGCGAAAAAAAAGAAACCAATAGTGCCTCCATCATGTTAATCTTATTTATAACCAGCGATATACGTACCATACATTGACTGATAGACCGAGCATTCGACCACGAGATGTAACTGCAAAATCGACGGGTCAAAATTGAAAGAGACACAGTTTGTTTGTCTGTGTCAACTTTTTGTTTGTGTCGATTTGTTCTGTCGATTTTTTATCCGTGTGAATTTTTTGTTCCATCTCATGAGAATCCGACGAATCGAGAGTGGCATTCTTTCGCCGCCGCGGCGAAAGTATAGGGAATGCTCGGATCTATATATACGATATAGGTCGTTGGCCCCTGCAACGACCGTGAGATTGTCCCGGGCGCGAATTCGTACATCGGGTCTTATTAAAGAATCATGTCGGTGCTGTCGCTTCTCGCAGGTGACGCTGAAGGAGATGGAGGATCACAAGGTTTCCACGCATCTGCACGTGCTGTGTTCGCACTTCGAACTGGTCGGTGACCAACGCGAACACTACCAACACCTATATCTGCCGGGTCGCGATGCGCCCACCGAAGAGGCGCAACACGCTACCTCGCCGACGGAGACGACATGCACCAAGTGCGCGAAGACCTGCCATGACACCGCCGAGCTGCATAGACACATGCTGGAGTGCGGCGGCGATCACGCTTGGCTACTCGGTCTCACCGGCAGCGGCAAGAAGAAGTGCAAGTGGCGGCCGTTCGGCAGCCGCAGCCGCAGACGTCGTCAGCGCGGCATGAAGAGGAGTATCCAAAACTCGCAGAGCTCGTCGCGAGTCAGCACGCCCAAGGAGAGACAGCAGCCGACCGGCCCCCGAGTCCGGCCGAGCGACCGTAAGAAACCGAAAAAAATTATTTGAGCAGTGCGATAAATCAACATCAATTCTTAAGTCTCAGGATAATCGACATAGAGCGTCTAAACGAGAGAAGTTTCAGGAGAGGAGGAGAGAAATTTAAGAATAGTCTTGTACATTAAAATGGCGTGTAGAGATGAGGAGTTTCAGGAGAGAGCAATTTAAGTATAATCTTATGGATTAGGACAAGCTGAAGAGCGAGGAATTGTCGAATTCTCGCTTCTCGCCGCTTGTTCCGCGTAATTCCGCGACCAATCCATCGAATTGATTTTCAGGGGAAAGCATCCAAAAGATGCTAGCCAATCTACCGCCTAAGAGGGCCACGAGAAAGATCCTGCAAGACAACGCGCTAAGGTCCCAGGGTAGACTTCGTAATGTAAGTAATTCAATATTGCGCGGGAACAATGACTGCCTTACGTTAATAATACACGCGATCAGGATTGAATCGATATCAGAATCGTAAAGGGCATTACCTGATGCCGATTATAATTGCTGGCTGATTTAATTAGGGTATCGACGCCCGCAATATCTGGCGTTAATGGCTTCTCTATAAAGCTCCCGCGATAATATGGTTGAATATCGAAACGTTTCTCATAATTTCGATTGGAATTGCATGAAATATCGCGTTACGTCATCCCACACACGTTAGAATCTAATTTAACGAAGACTTATATTTAAAATTATTTTTGAATGCTTCGCGCTAACAGCTTCATTGTTTCTTCCTGCTCAGTTTCTGCTTAACTGTTGGAATCCATTTCGAAATGTCTTTACAATAATTGGGCGGAAAACCAGACACACACGAGAAATGATGGATGAAGCTCTAAGTGAAATCGCAGGGACCGCACAATTTTATATATTGTCCCAAACGAATATGGCGTTATAAATAACATAAAACATCGCAACGTCAGTTACCCGTACGATCCAAATATTCTAAATAATTGAGGAAGAATCACGAAAAAGTCGAGACTCGTCGAAATAATGATAAAGCGCTTCGTCATACACCAGCGGTGGCATCGATTAGTTAACACGCTCGCTGGTCGAAACGCACATTCATGTGTGTCGCGGACACGATCACGCAGGGCGATTTTTACGCTGTCTCTGTGTGACGTACAGTCACTTATATACAGTCTCTCCTTTGGGAAACGCTTCCTCACTTTTAATTAATATAATTCTTTAATTTTGTTGTACAGTCTCCCCCTGTATATATTTAAATAATTCCGTGTATATTTAAATAATGTAACAAAAGAAAACGTTTCTAATTTTATTTGAAACTTTATGACAGAGATGAACAAAATTTTCGACAATGTACACTATCATGTATCGTATAATATACAAATTATATAGATATAAATTATATAGATATAAATGTACAAATTATATAGATGATAAATAAAACTTGAACCATTACACTATTCAATATACAAACTTGTGCAATATACAAACCATACATTATACCATGCAATACACAAACTTACAGAAAACAAGATAATGAAAAATATTAAATTTCTCTACACACATTATGAAATATGGTAGATAGCTTTCGCGAAACCCTAAAACAATTGAAATTCCCGGAAACACCCGGCGAAATTGTCACAGCAATGTTACGATTGAATCTATCGAGCCAAATGATAAGCAGCTACCGATATCGTCGCTCGTTGTAGCAGCATCTTTGGAATCTCTGTTGAAACAGGTGCAGACCAGAACGAGGCCCCGTATAATCGGCGATAACTCGTCCGCTTCACGAATTTCACGCAACAAAGCGGTCTTGAGGAACAAGCTGCTGAAGAACGCCAAGTCGATCCAGCGGAATCGTTGTCGAAGCGACAACATATCCGCGGTAATCGAGAGCGTCGTAAGGAACTATCAAGAGAACGACAAGAAAAAACTGCACGATGACGACAGCGGCAAAAACGCTGAAAGCCAGGGGAACGGAAGTAAGGACGCCAAAGACATCAACGAGAGCTCATCGAAGGCCGGCAGGGCTTCCGAAGTGGGCGATCGGCCTGTTCGATCGAAAGTCATGGGTCGACTCAAAGTCCTCGGTAAGAGGAGGAACGTGAAGACGAGAACCGGCCCGATCGGGAGCTCGTCGCGACTTCCAGGCAGAAACGCCAACAAGCTGGCGAGTTTCAAGGCTAGGAACAAGTTCAAGAGCGTCGCCACGTCGCAGACGAAGGCCGATGCGAGCGGCGAGGAGGTATCCTCTCCAAAGAGCACACCAAAGAACGCGAAGATGACACAGAGAGCACTCGACATGGATGACAATGTCAGTGCTGATGGTAAGAAAGCATTGACAACTCCTAGCAAGAACAAATTGCCGTCGCAGGGTGCATCAAAGAGAAAACGTCCCGTGGACCCAGTGGCGTCGCTGAATGCTTCCATCAAGGCGAAGTCGCAATTGCGTACGCAGGATGGCAAGTTCGCACGCAATCCGAACAAGTCAGATTCACCGGCGAAATCACCAGACACAAGAACGGAAAACGAAGGGAAACATAACAAAATTGCCGACACGACGGAGATCAAACTGAAACCGAGGGCGGCGCAAAAATTGACGAAGAGAGTCGAGCTTCAGTCACCGCGAAGAGTCACCCGGCTGTCGTCGGACAGCGATAAGATGCCGACCTTGGAACCAGCCGTGCAGATTTCCTCCAATGAGGACTATGTCAACAAATCGACGAACGACTTGCCGATTTTGTCGCCGGTGACGCCATCGGTGTCCCTTCAAGAGCAGAAAATATCACCACGAAACACTACAAAGTTCAGCTCGACGACGAAGGAGAAGGAGAGCGATATAGAGACCGACGGTGATCACAAAGCTGTGTTGGAGAAGCCTGCGAAAGAACAGAAGTTAACGAGAGGGAGGAGACCGAAGGAAGAGACGAAAGACACGGCAAAGCGGAAGGAAATCGATACAATTGAGGAGAAGGAGACCTCGTCCTCCAAGAATAACTCTAAGAAAGAAGGAAGAACGAGAAACAGAAAGAGTTCACCCATCAAAAGCACTAATGCCGGCGACGACAAGAAGGAAGAGACGAGCAACAAAAGCGAGACGGTCGGCAAGAGAGACTCCAAATGGAAAAAGGAAGAATCATTGAAGGAGACTCGAAGTAATTCGAAGACTAAACTGGAGAAAGACACCGTGAACCTGTCGAACATCCCCTTCGAGGTGAAGAAGTTGCTGGGTTCAGCCAGCAAAGAAGATCTCTTGAACACTTTGGAGCTTGCGACCAACGATAGTGGTTTGAAACGCAATCTCCGACAATCAACGCCAAGGTCAAGCGAGAAGATCGCGCGAGAACTCGATTGTGAATTGGAGGGCTCGAAGAGTTTGACCAAGAAGGAAAAGCTTGAACCAATTAGAAAGTCGACTCGAAGAAACAACGAGAAAAGAGGGGACGATAAAGTGAAAGCGAGTTTGGAGAAGGACGCGGTTAACAACATGGTGATGAGCGAACGAGTTCATCAGAATAGAAGAGGGGACGGTCGAACAGGCACAAAAACGAAGGAGATTGCGATTGACAACCCCGATGTCGAAGGTAAGATCGACAGTAGACAGACGATAACGTCGTCCACCTATTCTCGATCTAACTCCCGATCGGCTGACGCCAAAAGTGAACCTTCCGCGGAAGTCGAAAGTGATAGAAAGGGAAATGAATTGTCGGGGAAACGTCGCGGACGAAACAAATCGCTTGAAAAAGCAGTCGTTGAAACTGATACTGCCTGTGCGGTGGAGGAAGAACAGAGTCGTGAGGAAACTGTTACGCCAAGCGAAAAGGAGACCAGCAAAGAAGTGGAGAAGAATATCGACAAGGTCGACAAGAACGACAAGGTTAGCAAAAGCGACAAGGTCGACAAGAGCGACAAGGTTAGCAAAAGCGATAAGGTCGACGAGAGCGACAAAGACGACAAAGTTGACAAGAGTGATAAGGACGACAAGGTTGACAAGAGTAACAAGGACGACAAAAACGATAAGGATGACAAGATGAACAAAGGCGACAAGGTGGATAAGGATGATAAGATGGACAAGGACGACAAGGATGACAAGGACAACAAGGATGACAAGGACAACAAGGATGACAAGAGCGACAAAATTGACAAGGACAACAAGGATGACAAGGGCGACAAGATTGATAAGGACGATAAAGTTGATAAAGACGACAAAGTTGATCAGGACGACAAAGTTGACAAAAACAGCAAGAACGACGAAGTTGACAAGAATGACAAGGTTGATAAGAGCGACAAGATCGACAAGAATGAAGATGAGAGCCAGGAGGGTGACAACAATTCTGAAAATCTCCAAGATTCAGCGATGATAAATTTAAGTCTGAGTCATTTACTTGAGACAAGCAACTCCGTCGACAGTGGCAAGGAAAACTCCTTGGAAAACTCCGTGAACATTCATAAGCTGAAAGCGACAAGACCAAGAAAGGGGACGCGACGAGAGCGAGCGTCGAGAAAGAGATCACTGAGCAATGTCATCGGTATTCTGACAGAGGGTATGAACATTCCGGTAGAAGCGCAACAAAGCGTGGTGTTGACAGTGCAGACCAGTTTAGACAACGATCCAGATCGATTAACGCGCAATGGCGTCGTACAACAGCCGACCGGCGAAGGCAACGTGGTCGCAGTAGACTCATTCAGCGAACTGGTTCTTGCCAGGGGTGACGAGTCGTCGGAGAATGAAGTCGTGACAGCGAACGCGACTGCCGGTCATCATCACGCGGACGACATTGAGAGAAACAGCCATTCTAGTCTTTGCAAGCCGCAGGACGACGAAAATGCCTTCCCCAATCAGAAGATAGACATGTCGCCGAAAGTTACGAGCGTTAAAGCGCATTCACCGGCTAACGATATCATCCTCGACTTATCCAGAAGGAAGCACAAGAGTAAAGGTGGCTCCTTCCTGGAGAAGATCGTGTCGAAGATAGCTAAGCAGAAAGACGCCCTGTTGGAGGGTGAAGTTGGCTCTTTGCTGGACACTGCGGCCGACGAGTTGACCAGCATTCTCGACGAAGTCGGGCCGGGCTTGACTGAGAACAGAGAAAGTCCCAGTGAGGTGAGCAACATTAAAAGTGCAATAAATACGTTTTCTGATGTCGAATGTGCGACCAATTTACTGGAGATTCAAGACAGCCTCGAAGAAAGGTTGCCGGAGAAGACTGAGACGCAGAGCGAGAATCAAATCAAGACGAGCGTTGTTGCGGATAGCGAAATGAAGATCAACGATGACGTGGACAAAAAACTAAGCGATGCGGTAAATGTCGTTGAGAATTCATTGTTCGAATCTTGCGAGAATCAAACAACATTGAACGAGGAAGCGATTGTTCCGACGGAGATACCAAGTGCGGTCCCATCAGCAATGACAAATACTTCGGCAGAAGTTTTCAGTTCGCCAGATGCAATGCAAAAAATAAGTTCAAAGAAAGTTGAGGAGAAGGAAAACGGCAGAAGATCCAGGAGGAAATCCAGAAAAAAATCAAATGCAAACTCACCGAAAAAAAGTAAAGGCAGATCGATAAAAGTCGCCGAAGAACATATTGAAGAGAATACGAAGGAACTTCGGGTTGACGACATCATCGACAAATCAGAAGAAACGACCAACATTGAAAATGAACTCTTGGAAAAAGATGCAATTTTAAAAACTCCGAATGCAAACTTCGAAATCGAACAGATCCAAAGTAACGAAGATAAAACCAAAGATGAACCGGCGTTGTCGAATCTGGAAAAGAACATCACGGATGATTGTAACGAATCAATTTTGGAAAAATCTGCTGATCTTCCAGAAGCCGCTTGCGAAAGTACAAAGGAATTAACGACTAACCTTGAAGAACCTGTAGACGAGATTACGTCGGACAACACCATTACCGACGTTCAATCGACACACTCGATCGAGATCTATGCTGATTCTTCGGAAAAGAGTGTTAAGAATAGAAAATCTGCAGAAAAAACTCAGAAGAAAAACCAAATTGACACAAACGAACCTGTGTCTAGACGTACGTCGAAGAGAAAATCGCAATCCGCTTTATCCTTTCTTCTTCTAGATACTGCTATAGAAGAGACAGAAGAAGAAATACCGATTTTGTCATCCACTACGAAAGAAGGAGAATCCTTAGGATCGATCGACGAACATTCGACGAAAACAAATAGTATCATCAGCCAAGATCCAGTTGCTTCTGCAGAGAATTCCTTACCTTCAATGGAGGAAGTATCCAAGAAACATGAAGAAACACAACCAACTGCCAAATCAAGCAACCTTGTTAATACGGCATCTCCAAAAGTGGTAAAGAAGAAGCGTGGAAGAAAGAAAAAATCATTAGCAGATGAGCATCTTGACCTACCGGATGACGAACCTACAGAAGTCGCTTCGAAACTAAACGGACAACCAAGTATCACAGATTCCAACGAATTATCCGTGAGCTTGGAGCATTTCAAAGTGCCGGAAGTGTTGCAAAGCGCGAAGAAACGTGTGGGCACGAAGAGAAAATCGTTGCACGAGGACGGCCGCTGGAATGGCGGCGGCGTTGCCGAAGAGACTCACGCGAACGAAGAGCCACGCATGAGTGATGTTAGCGAGACTTCCAGCATAGTCGAGAAACCTGAAGAGGCAGAGAAAACGGAGAAAAAACGCGTTGTAGAGAAAGAATCCAGCACAAAAAAACTGGAGAGATCGAATTCTTCCGACTCGATTGGGCTCGCTACGTCTTCGAGGACAAAATCTACGTCCCGTAGGAAACAACAGTTATCGAACGAGGATCTCGCCGATTCCGAAATACGCGGTCAAAGTGTGGATAGCACGGACGACCTATCTGAGAGCTCATGTACCAGCGAATCCAGTTACTTCCGCAAGAAGCGCTTCGCGAAGAAGAAGAAGAAAGAGGAAGACAACAACGAGTCAGCTGGCAAAAAATCGCCAACCGACTCTTCTGTTGCAGACCCGAAATCATCGAGCGACGATAAACGAAAGTCAAAAGAGTGGACGACGTCGTTGCTCGACGAGCACCTGGATCTCTCCGATACAGATGAACTCGACGTTCCGGTGGATATCCAAATGTCATTGGAGAACACGAAGATATTGGAAGAAATCGACAAAGAGCTCGAATTGCCTGAGAAGTCATCGGGTTTACCGGACGGAAGCGCAAATGAAACAACCAACGCGGTGGCGGACGAAGCTACGACGGACAACGACTCGTCCGTCTTGAAGCAAACGTCAGAGAATTGCGACTCTTTGGATGATCCAGTGGCACCAAAGAAACGTGCGGCTGGTAACTTCGTGGTGGTGCACAGGAAAACCGGCGAGATCCTCATTGTGGAGAAACGAAAGAAGCTGACAAAAGAGGCGGCGAGGTTCTTCTGCGACGTGTGCGCCACTAGCTTCACTCGTAAGAGCTCCCTGAAGAAACACACGCAGTCTCAATCTCATTTGTCGCAGATATCGAAATCCGCCAAGGTCGAGAAAGTTGAACTAGCCAACGATAACAGCATATCCAAGAACGTCGAGGAGACTAACGATTGGAAGGATGATGAAACGAGCGAACAACAGATGAAGAGTGCAGAAGATACGCAGAAACTCGGCGGGAATTCTCTGGAACCAAACGAGAGCTATGCTGCTTACACAACTAATGCGGAATCGACGAACTCATTCATGGATCTTCGCACGACGAGGCAACAATTGGAGGACGAGTTGTTGGACGAAGAAATCTGCAAGATCACCGAGAACATGAGTCACGACGAATATGTATTGACCGATCACATAACCCCGCAGCCACCAGAGGCATCGTCGACCCCGGTAAAAACATCGGCTCATCAGAAGAACGAAGAGAATCTGACGCGACATCGGAACGGTGAGAAGAAACGGAATAAGTCGAAAAAGAGAAATCTGGCTGAGGAACATTTGCTCTTAGACAGTCCCATATTTGATAAGTCTAAGATCAACTCCGACAAACTTCCAAATCCGGCCAATAACGTCATACGAGTCTCTTCACCTTTACTTCATCGTTCTTCACCTCCACTTTCCCTCTCTTCACCTACTTGCGAACATAGCACGCTAAAAGAAAAAATGGCGGAAGAAACAGAAAATGTACCTGAAGAAATTCCTGCGGATTTCACTAAGATGAAGGATCAAGCCGAGTCGACCGTAAAGAACTTGATCGAAGAAATAGAATATTCAAAGTTATCGACCTGCGACATCGAGACGAAAGATGAAGAGCGGATGGAACCAGTGAGAACGACAAGAAGAAGCGCATTGAAGAAATCCTCCAAAGTGTATAACGAGGGAAAAGAAGAGAATCAACCTTCCCTCGATGGCGACACATCCTCAAGTCGCTTCAGTCTGAGACCCAGAAGAAGCAAAAAGATCCAACATTATGATGAATCGGACGTCGATATGTACTTTATGGACAATTCCATGGAGATAAACGGCGATGAAACAGGCGACAATCACGATGCGGAAATGAAACTGAACGAAATGGAAGTGGAAACCGGCAAGGACGAATTGCAAGAGACAACGGAGTCGCGCAACAAGGAGCACGTTGATCCATCCTTCGAAGACGTGACGGTTGCAAGACCGAAGCCAGAGCCGACGAAAACTGGCAGAAAGCGTGGCAGGCCGAGACTGAAAGATCGAGGCGTTCCGAATGCGAGTGTCGCTACAGTTCCTGCCGCAGAACCCAAAACTAATGAAGTAAACGGCATCGTTGAAGATGAAACACTCAAAGAATCAAAAATAAAGGATCAAAAGTTAAGTTCACATACCAAAGAGAACCTCGAAGAGACCTGCAAACCGCAAAATCTTGATACAAACGTGCAGCCTGTTAAACCAAAGAGAGGCAGGCCTAAGAAGAACATCATACAGGTCACGAATATTTCTTCCGTGGAAGCGGATAATTCCACTGTCTCCATATCGACGAAACTAGTTTCTGATAAAACAGAAGAAAAAACAGAAGAGGTCGCATCTCATTCTGAAACCGTTGAAGAGGCTGTTCCGCCAAATCTGGTCGATTTTTCGGCTCCAAACACTGAACCTTTATCTGCTGTTGAAGATCACGTACCTGACTCGAGTTTATCGGAAACAAAGAAGGATCAATTAAACGTTGAAGAGGACGAGCTTCAGCTTACCGAGCTGAACACTTCTAAGGAGCGATCGGAGCAAGAAACGAAAATTCTAAACGCTGATATCGCCTCTGAGAAAAATAACGAATTTCAAGCATTTGACATTCCATCAGAGAAGGATAACGTCGTCGTCGATACACCTGATGACGTGGAACCTGTATTGGAAGATAAACTAAATTACGAAGAAACAAATGAAAGTACTTTGATTAATCCGACTGATGAACTTCAACTTAAGCTTTCAACTGAGATTACCGAAAAAATTCCGAGCGACGCATCGCAACTGTTAATCGCGATCGACACTTTGGTACCGGTGGAATCTAAGACAGTCGGTGAAAACGCCGAAGTTCAGGAGTCAGAATTGGGACCGATCTGTCAGCAGAAGCTAGAAGTCGAAATTGAAACAAACCTATCAAATCCAGAAATCAGAAGAGAAACAGATCCATTAGATCCAGAAGCCAGGAGAGAAACAGATCTGTCAGATCTAGAAACTAGAAGAGAAATAGATCTGTCAGAACCGTTGGAAGACAAGCTAACAAACGAGAAGTCAGAAGAGGAATCCTCGGAGGAGGAGACCCGCGAACCGTCCCAAAAAGAAAAAGAAGAAGTAGTAGAACCGAAGCTTTTGTCGGAATTGGAAAATAGCGAAGACGAAGCTGTGTTCCCCAATGACAAATCGGACCCCATTGTAGATTCTCACGAGCCGCCACCTCAAAAGACGATAGACGATATTGATGAGAAAGCGATTCGACTAGCGGAAAAATCTAGCAAGAAAGTGTCCAAATCTTCTCAGTCGGCCAACAAAGAGCGAGATGCTGATCGTAAGAAATCAAAATCGTCCAAAGGTAAAGGTAAAAAAGCTACTGTGAAAGTCACAGATTTGTCGAGCGAGAGCGAAAACGAGGATAAGATCGAATCTGCTTCCTCGAACAAGAGTAAAATCGTGAAAAGTGTATTCGGCCGAGTGTTCGGCGGCGAGAAGGCGGACAAGGTAAAAGAGGTGTTGAACGACTGGGTGTCGAGATCGGAGGATGATTCGGACGTATCGAGGAGCGCTTCCTGCTTGCGCGGCTCGACGAAGATCCCCGAGAACGATCACAGGAAAGACAAGAAGCGTCACGCAAGCTCCGATGCAAAGAAAGATACCGAGCGATCGGCCAAGAAGAAAAAGAATGACAAGGGTAACAGTGCTGATGTTCACGGGAAGTCGAAGAATCGAAAGAAACGAGAGAAGGATCCTAACCAGATATCCAAAGATCGTTTTGAGTCACCTGTCAACCAGATCAAACGAAAACGCAGGGAAAGTAAGGTCAGAGCAGACGAGAAGATTCTGAAGGCCTTCGACGATGAGCCACCGGTTCTCCTGGAGGAGAACGATCGCGCGATCGAAATTAAAGAGACACGCGAGGCTAGAGATCGATTCCATGACAGCCATTCGAACGACAAAGACGATGAATCCGGAAGACATCACGAAGAGGACAGGAACCGAATTAAGGAGAGGAAACTCTCGGGCGTCGACGACTGGGAAAATCTTCGAGCTGTCCACGACATTCACGGAAAGTCGAAGACTAGCTCTAACTGCCGTAAAAAGCGGGATGGTAATACGAGAAACGAGCGTTCCTCATCGCCGTCGCAGTTCAACGTGTTCAAGTATAGGCGTAGGGAAGGTAAAAGCAAGACGGACGAGAAAGTTTGGAGAGCATTTGACAACAACGGTGCTTCTTCATACCTATTCGACGATCGAAACATCCATGAGACACGCGAGACTTCCAAAGACTGGGATACACCTTACGAGTCCGAAGACATGGGTCGTCCCTATAAACGAAAGGACGATGACGCTTGGAAAAACGCCAGTTTGGAGGATCAAGAACAGATCAGAGTAAGTAGCGGACGCGGAAAGTCGAAGAAAGACTCGAGCAGTCGCAAGCGACAAGATACCGACGCGACGAGCAAGATGGGCAAGACGAAAACAGAAGAGAAAACTACGAAGAGCTTCGATAACGAGTTGTTGATCGCCCTGAGAGATCAAGAAACGAAGAACGGGACACAGGACGATCAAATGGCGCGATCAACCAGCGAATCGAGGAACCGGTCGAAGAATCTGACTATAGTTAAAAACATTGGTCACGAGTTCCCCTCGTATTGCGACTTGGTGACTTCGAAATATCAAGTGAGTCAAGATCAGGATAAGTCGGCGATTTCCAGAAAGAGCAAAAAAGGGCATGGCAACGAAGACTGGAGGCACCTGACGAGGAACTCGTTCGACCAGGAGGTTCTCGCGGAGGACGATCGCCCGAGCGAAAAGGACGTCGTACAGAGGAAGAACGAGGAATCTATGGGATCGTCGCGTGGCTTGTCGGGTGAAAGGCCGACGATGAAAGACCAAACGGATGACGTCGACGGAAATATTCAGATCCGAGAATCCGACGAAGATGAAAACGACGAAGAAGAAGAAGAAGATAACGATAACGACGATTCTGAGAGACGAAGAATATCGCCGTTCTATGCGCGCGAGACTTCCGACAACTCAATGGACAGCAGTTCTAATAATGAGGAAGAGGAGGAAGATGAAGAGGAGGATGAAGAACGTACGGCGCAGGACAATACCAGAAAGACGAACACCAGCGAGTTCTCTGGGGAGAAGATCGTCATCAGGTCGCCGTCGTTGGGTCACAGGTCGGACGTGGTGACGATCGCACCTACGGACGCGATCGAGGACAACGCTCTGGATGTGCCGAGGGAGATCGAGTCGACGACCGAGCCGCGGCAAGGCAAGATCTTGAACTTCGACGAGGAGCTCTTCGTGGAATGTTGCTCGCGGTTGAAGGCTACGAGTGAGAACGAATTGAGAGGCGCGAAGAAAATCAAGCTGGATCACACGGAGTTCTATCACAGGCGAAACGACCAACCACAGGGATTCAGGCCCAATAGAGATCGTTGGAGAGACGTAGAGAGCCAGAATAGCCTCGGCAGTCTGCTGGAATCGGTAAATCAAGTAAGCACTGAGTTCTTTGACACTTCATGCTCGGGGATTTACAAATTATTTGATAATGACAATTTCCATAGATATTTCCGTATATTACTGTTTATCTAATTACGATATGAAAACGGATATTTCAGTTATATAAAAGCCAGCTTTAAATTAAAATTACTCAAACGAGTTATAACTATTCGCAATGACATAATCCTATTTTTGAATCGCGCACTCAAAGTTGGTTATCTATAAATGTATCAATGTCGAGTGCTGGGAAAATTTAGTTATATAAGTTACATATTGAGTTATCATAAATATATTTTGCTGTAAAATTCCTGAAAATACCATGAGTATCGTTTATGATTCAATCCTTTTTTTTAAGAATTCCCGTCATTTTGTTTACAACCAACCAAGATTCTATCCTTACTAAATGTGTTTGTGTCACGATTATTTCTACTCTTAGTTCATTTCTTTTCTTCGATAAAGAGAGGTGAAATAAATATTACACTATATGTGACGTGTGTTTTATTCGGAAATTCTAGCTACTCGGCGAAGAGATGTACAGCAGCCACGAAAGGAGCTATCGAATACACGGTAGTGAGCGATCAAGCAGATCAGCCAGTCCGGACGCGTCGCGAGCCGACAACCCTGGCTATGAGGACAGCTTGGACGTCGCCTTCGAGCACAACAATAAGCTGCGGGACAAGATACAACAGAGGATGAGGGAGAGCGAGAATCTGATAGCCAGCACATTTGGCCAAAGAAGCAACGATGATGAGCAGAACCGTCTTGGCGAGAACAAGCGAATCAATTCATACTCCTCGAATGTTCACGAGCACTTGTCTAGCTCAGGTGCACCGAACAGAGATCAGGAATCATCGCCAGGGCAAAAGAACAAGATGAACTCCACCCTGGGTGGTCTTCTAGACAAGGCACTATCCAACTTATTGCACAACAACGGCAGGCATGATAATAAGTGAGTAGCATTATTTATTCTCGCAACTCACACGTTACACTAACTAGTGACATAAATATTCAAACAACCTAAATTCAGATTTATAATCAATTTTAAGAAAACTGTGACTTATTGATATCAAATTGAAGAATAGGAACCTTAATTTAAGACTGTCTCTCATCTTAATCTTTTAATATTGAATCGATGCAATAATCAATTTTCCAGGTTGGCGTAGTAATGAGTTGTGGATTCTTGAGGAAAATGAAGCTGCTTAAGCTTCAGAAAATTTCGCAAATAAGTTAGTAACAAATTGTCTAACTTATTCACAGACTTGGCATTGTAATATTGAAGACGTGAACTTGCAATTGATCAGTCTCCTTAGTACGTTTACGGCGTGAGAGTGCTCACTATCGATTTCTGCATAAAACCTTTCCTGCATAGATAGCGCTCTCGTGGATACCATTACATTTCAGTCGATTTTTATGAATCCTATTTCTGCAAAAAGATTCAAGAAAAGAAATCGGACCGGACGGAATGCATATGCAACGAAATGAAATTAAAGGAGAAAATTAACTATATTTACACGGTGGATCGCGTATCAGAGCGTATTTTTCGGCTTCGCGCCGGTTCAACACCTGTTGATCGCTCGTTTAATCGTCCGCGCCTACCATACGCTTCGCACCCATTCGATCTCTCGATTACGCTATCAAATTTAGCGCATGATCGGCACCGGCGCATCAAAGAGCAACCGCGAAAAAGAACACAATTCCCACGCGCATCGTCGATTAATTTCCCGTGTCGAAATACGAAACGCGTCACGCCAACGTTATTTAAAATCCCGATGAACGTAGTAACCGGTGCCCGTTTCTTTTTTTCCTTTTAATTTTTTTATTTGACGTTGAAATTATTCGAACGCGGCCACGAGCTCAGTTTAATCAAGGATGGCCGAGAGACCGCGTCTGTCGTCGAACGATGCCCATTCGTTCACGTTGCGTTCGTATTGATCCGCTCTCGTCACTCCGCCCTATACGCGATGAGCGATCTCTCTCCGCAACAACACCGACATGTAGCGACGCCTTATAGGACCTTGCATAGAGCACTTAGTATAGCACCTGATACACAACGTTCGTTATTTCGCAAGGCTATTTACGAGCCGACATGAGAAAGATATCCGACCAAGGGAAACCACTGCTTCGAAAGAGCGTATACAACAATATTTCTATAAATACCAAGAATCCAGTTTTGTTTAACATGTTGATTGCAAAACTGATGAATTCAGGTGCGAATTCCGCCAGACCCAAAATCTTAGTATGTTATATTAATCTTTTACGGTCGACCTAGGCGCAAAACTTTACCGCTGTACTACGCGCAACTTTGCCGCGGAACGCGTGTAATAACAACGCGATCGACACTTGTTACTTTATACTATGTAGGTTGGTGCAAAAGTATGTTTGTAATATTTGTCAAGTAAAATAGAAAACGGAATTATATCCAATTTCGAAAGATTAAACATTTTTGTATTTTTATAAACATCCAACGAGAGGATTTCCTCTATCTTTTTTTTTTCTAAAAAATAGAAAAAATTTCTAAAAAATTTTTTCTAAAAACCTAAAGATCTTACGAAAATTTAATAGAAAAATAGAAACTCTTTTACACCAACTTAATAATTCATTGTATCTACGTTAGTATAATATAATGAAGTTAATTGATTACTGAAATTTTTACTTTTAGCATCAAAAAGCGAATAAACTATTATTTAATAACGACAAGCTATCCACGAGTCTTAATGCAAATTTTAAAAGAAAGCCGCTATGATGATATCTTGCTCTAAAAAAGCGTTCAGTCGGAAACCACTGTAGTGACGCGTAGTATTTAAAGGGCGTTAATAATGCTTTGTTGTTTCTTATTTAATATTTTTGTAAACCCTTCTTTAAAATCGTTCTTAATCAGGCAGATAACACCCTCATTCAAATTAATGACGAAAGTTTCGAAACCACGTTCAGATGACTCCTATGTCGTCTGAATATCAACGTATTAACGGAGTAAACATTAGAAATATTAAATGCTAAAGACGCGTATTTTTCGCATAAACAACTCGGCTCATAAACATCGACGAAGATTACTTTATAATTCCATGATGATTTTTTATAATAAAACCATTATCACTTTGCAGCGGGTCCGCTCCGATGAAGCTGTTGGCGGAACTGGCGTGCGCACGTGCTCCGACATCCACGTCGCCGGAGGAGGACACTACGAGCGGCAAGAATCATCAATCGGTGAAAATGGTCGCGGCAGCGGTGGCGGCAGCGGCAGCCGCGGCTGCAGCGGCCGCGGCCAAGGATTCCACTTTGGATTCGTCAAAGAAGTCTGCGAGAGACACAGCGGTAACATTGAAACATTCGTCGACAAAGAAGGCACGGAATCCCATCAAGGAGCTGTTCGAGCGTAAGAAGGAGATCAACGACAGGAAACAGCAGGAACGTTCGAAGGCGCTCGTGGAACTGAACAGTGCGCAGCGACAGCGCAAACCGAAGAAAAGTAAGAATCGACAGCAGCAAGAATTCCCGCTAATACGCAGGGACGAGTACTATGGCGGCTTGGCTGAGAAGAAAAAACGTCGCGACTCCTTGGAACGCAAAGCGGAACCGCTGGCTGAACGAGTAAAAGATGTCTACGAATTTGATGAGGAGGAGAGCCAAATGGCGCCCACTTTGGGCAGCGTATTGTCCTACAGAAGCCAAGTGGAGAAAAATTACGAAAGCTGGTCGAAACTGAAGAATGTCGACGGAGACTTCGACGCATTCTTGGAAGACGGCAAAGCGAGCTACACCGACGCGAAGATGAACGTGAATTCGATCGACCGTAAGTTCCGAGAGTTGGAGAAGTTCGCGCCGAAAACAAAGGGCGCCTTGAAATCATTTCAGAGCGAGGAGCAACAGCGTATTGCCGTTTCGATTAGCGGGCCGATGGACGAATTCGTGGAACGAAAGCAACGTCTAAAACGCGGCTCCGTGCAACACAGCAGCGCCAAGCAATCCAAGTTGAAAAAGCGAGGCAAAGGCTCGAAGAAACGTGGGAAGAGCGCGTGGTACGAAAACGACAGCTCGGACGAGTTCAGGACGGCCGCGAAGACGGAAGACGTCGGTGTAGGCATCTCAAAAAGTCAGCGTGCGTGCTCAAAGGGCAAGCAAAACCTGTTCGCCGAATTATCGACGTCATCCGAGAGTGAATACGAATCAATCGACATCGGTCACGATATCATGAGCGAATCACAACATCCGTCGAAGCCGAGGAAGAACCTGAAGAAATCGCTCGACGCTGACGCCGACGCTGACGTCGACGACGACGCGGATCGTAACGAACCGGTGACCAATGAACTCGAGTTCGAAAACGAGGATCAAATTGCGAATAATTGGAGAGAGCCACCGGCGATCGAGGAGGAAGAAGACATCGCGAAGAAAAAGCGCGATAACGCAAAGTCAGAGTCAGAACTGTCGGACCACTCCTTGGTGATAGACGAGAGGAAAACGACGGACGAGGCGAAGAACAGCGACGACGACGGTGACCATCAATACGAGAGGACGTTCGAATTGGACGACTTGTACAGAGAGGACAGTACGGACGCAGAATCGGAGACCGAGGAGAACGAGACGGTGGTACCGACGGCCGAGGAACCAAAGGACACAATCGAGATGGAGACGTTGGATAGAAACACGATCTTGACGGAAGTCACGTCTACGAACATGAAGAACGATTATGTGCCGGAAAAAGAATTGATTCCTTTGGAAGAAGCATTGGACCTCTTGGATCGACACGAAGATCTCAACCCGAAATCAGAAAATATACGCGCGGAAATTGCACAAACGGAAAGCGCACAGCTCTTGAACGGTATCATAAGAACTATGATGGTGGAAGAGGAGGAAGAGGAAGAAGAGGAGGAAGAGGAGGAGGAGAAAGAAGAGAAGGAGGAGGCGGAAGAAGAGGAAGAAGAAGAAGAGGAGGAAAAGGAAGAAAAGGAAGAGGAAGCCTCTAACGACGGAATTGCTCACGACGAAACAGAGAGCAAACATCTCAGTCCAACAGAGACGCCAGACGAAAAGGAGGATGCAGACGACGACGTGCCGGTTCTGCCTGAAAAACTATCCAGCAATGAGAAACCTCAGAAGGAGTCCGATAATTTGCCACTTCACGTATTTCTCAGCAGAAAGGTGCAAGAGTCGAAGAAACGAAAGCAGCAACAATTGGACAAACTGCGGGAGGAGCAGGAGATGATACTCATGGACTTCCAGCCGACCAGGAGGCAGAGAAAATGTGCGATAGGCAAGCAAGGTCTGCTGGCAGAAATAAGCAGCTCGGACGAGGAATCCTACTCGAGAGACAACGGCAAACGAAGCAGCGACAGATCGGAGCACGAGAACAAGCTACGTAAGAAGAGGGAATCAAAAGAGAAAAGGAAAGAGCGATACATCGAGAAGAAGCACGAGCAGATGATCGCGAAAGAGCAAAAAGCGATCGAAGAGGAGATTCTGCGAGAGGTTGGCAAGAGAAAAGAGATTCTCACGCAGAACTCGGACGACGTTATATCAAACACCGATAACGCGATCGAAACTAAAGTCGTTTCCGGACAGATACAGAAGAAAAAACACCAGACAAAAGACAAGCAAAAGAAAATCGACGAGGAAGAAGACGTCAAAGAAAATACGGAGGAGCACGCTAGTCAGTCTCCTCTCGACAATTCGGAGGACAATCACACGTCGGAACGCGCTGTGTCGACTACGGAGAATGCTGTGGAGAACAACGGTTGCCTGTTGTCACCACCGAAACGCAAGAAACACTCCAAGTCGCCCTCGAGATCGAAGAAAGCGTCGAAAGCCGAAAATGCGAATAATTCAGTGAACAAACAGAAAAGCAAGCAATCGAGCGCGGAGAAGTCGAAGAACCGCGTAACGTCCACGAGCAACAAGGACTTGAAGGAGCGCAAGTCATCTAACGGCAAACGCGATTCCGATGACGAGGAGCTGAAGACCACTAGGTCATGGAACAAAGTCGAAGAGGGTGTGGGAGTAGCGATCGGTCGGCGGAAGCGCACCGCTCCCCTTCAGTTGTATTACTGGTCCAGCTCGAGCGACGAAGAGGAACCCGAACCGGAGCCAATAGCCGCGCTTGAGGAGGAAGAAGAGGATGATCGGCAAGAGCAGCACGGCTGGATAGTGGGCGACTCGCATAAGCGGATGATCACGATGCTGGCGATGGAGAAGCAGCTGAAGGAGAAGCGACGCAGGAGCGAGGACGAAATCGAGTCCGGCAAAACGAAAAGCAAGAAGCATCGGAACAGCACCTCTTGATACGTGTTTCACGATTAAGGACGGCGACGTGAATCGTCGGATAGAGTGAATGTGATGACTAAGTCATGTCATTTTTCTAGGAAAAGTCCGGACTGAAGATGAGAGCGCAACTAAAAGAAGAACACGAAGAAGAAGGAAGAAGATTTTTCACCTGCATTTGTATCTTCGAGCGAGCGTTGCGTCTTGTAACTTTTCCGGTTCTGTTTAGATAGATATATAATGAAAAAGAACCACGTGCGAACTATGGCCGGGAGTTATTTGTTGTGTTCTGTTTTGTTTTGTTTCTTCCTATCTTTTCTCTCCCTTGTATTCTTTTCTCAGATCAGATACTACATGTTATCGCGAACATCGAGCGAATATGAGAATGATTTAGGAAGTAACTCTTTCCCTGTGAATGCAGGCAGAGGGAAAGATATAAGATGTATATATAGACTGCTTGGCGTTAGGATAAAAATTAGCGATTAGAAGAGTATTCTGTCGCACCATAAGAGTATATATAATTTCGAAAACTTACAGGAATAACGCAAATAACGCGATAGACTGAATGTGTGAGAAGTAGCGGAGAACAAAGTGGACACCCTTAGACAATACTAGGACATTTGTAACGTTTAGTTATATGTAGGGGAAGTCCCTCGCAACGCGGATAGAGACGAGAAGTGAGGAGGGAGACAGGGAATGAAAATCAGAGATTCAGCCAGCTGCTTACTTAGGAATGGACAACGTAAAGCCGGGTCCAATCGAGTTTAGCGCTTCTGCCAGCTTTTCGTAATTTGTGAAACGTATTCCTCCGTATTCTTGCATATTCTTACATATTCATACGTATTCTTACATATCGCAGGGTGGACGATACCGAGGATATCCTTAAATGTTTGCTCGAGCGAATAAAACAGGCGAACTTCTTTTGATTTTCGCACGTTGTTTTTACGAATTTTCTAGATCTCAAACTCGCGCGTTCGGCCGTAACGGGGCCACCTTTAGTCGATGAAAAATATAAAAAAGAAGAAGAAGATATATGCAAACGCGCGATACACGGACGTGATTCTTTTTTCTTTCGTACTCGCCTCGTGCACATAGACGTAAGTATGTAGATTTTCATATATTACAAGAAGAAACGTTATACATGTTACACGCAAGCGACAGAAATGATTAAAAAGAAAAACAAACGATTATAGACTTTAATGTAAATGTACTGCCATAATCATATATATTATACGAAAGCCTATGCGAGATAGTGGTTAATATTATTCCTGTAAAGATTTAAAATAAAAAAAATATCTCTAGCACAAAAAACTAGGTAACGACCCAATGTAAATAGAACATATTTTCAATGTGTCTGGAAAAGTATGTTTTGTAATATAAGGATTGCAAAGGAAAATAAAATTATTCAACAATACGCTTTATTACTAATAAGTTACAATGATTATGATTTTCTTGTAAAAAAAATGCATACTTGTCATATTTCATTCAAGATTAATTCTCATTGCATTTAATAATTAGGTCTCTTATAATAAAGATCTGACCTATCATCGAAATATACTATTTGAAAGTAAAAGAGATCTCTTTGCTCTCCCTGATAAAAAAAAGTTGATTGAGAACGATAGAATTTCTATCAGTTTGTATTGTTTTCTATAAGCTTTATCATTCGCAAGCGTCAGATATAAATTCGCGAGCATCAGATATAAATCGTATTTTATCGGGTTCTATTTGTATTATATAGGAAACTGACGATAGAAATTCTATCACTATCTATTGTATTCTATCGTATACGATAGAATATTATTCACATTTGTGAATTCATGAACCAAAATCCATATTCAAAACGATAGAAAACAATGGAATTTTATTCTATCGTTCTCTATAAACTTTTTTTACCAGGGCTGCCATTGAAATGTACTATTTAGAAAAAAAAGGATCTTACCATCGAATCCTTGAAAATAATAAGATGAAAGTCGATCTTATTCGTCATTGAGTCAAACTACTTGAAAATAAAAAATCCATATGCCTTGCCGTTGAGTCCCACACGAAAATAAAGAAGTTACCTTTCTTTTTACAACGAAAAACAGAAGTCCTGTTGTCGCGATAAATCATTCTACTAAACGGTCAAAATTAGCAATAAAATTTCGTATTATTGAATCAAAGAGTTATCGATATCGGGGTTAAAATAATCGATCTTTGCAACCGAGAAGAAGAATCGATTCAGTGAATTGTCGACCATCCCCGCTTTGCCGGGAACACATCTTGCACGATGAGTACTGATACAGAACAAATAGTCGAATTAGAATTTATGATGCAATAACCTAACTATCGGCTTTTAGAAAAGTTTTACACCTTTGATTTCTTGATTTACGTCACATGTATTTCGTAACATACACTCAAGAAATTGCATAAATACTTTTCACTCATTATAGAGGAGCGGTTACTTGTCGACAGCAGAAGATTGTCACGAAAGATGAAACAGTTCATATATGGCAGATTCGGGTAAGATTAATTCAAATCAACGAAAGAAATCGAATTAATAAGTAACTTACAACACCTGTTTATCAAGTAAAACAATTTCTTTTATTCGTGCAACTCGTGTCTCACAAGGACATGTTCTCTATGTTCCGATCAATCAGGTTATAATATGTATCAATGTACTAATTAAACAAATTGTACTTAACATTAAAAAGCGGTTCTTTATTTATAAGTTCTCTAGACTGTATATATGTACCATTCTTTCTTCTCTTTCTATTACCTAAATTCTTTATTTTTTATATAAATTTTCGTATAAACAAGCACATAACCTCTACAAGTTACATCTATTTTTGGTTTTTTTCATGTATATTTCTCTTATTCTTCTAATATTTACTTGTATACTCTTCTTTTTAGTCGTAGCATTTTACTGGTTCCTAAAACCCCCAAACATCCAGTATTACTTATCAGCACACGGGGGTTAATGTCTGGGAAATTCAATAGACACTGTAAATCATTACTGGCAACACCACAATTAAGATACTATGCAAATCCATATCGTGGATATGCTATGGTAGTAGCAAGAATTTTAAGAGGAGCATTAAAACTCCGATACTTTCTCATAGGAGGTGCGATTAGTGGTGGTGTTACTTTGCAGAAGGTACATATATCATCACAAATTATATTTTTTTCTTTTTATTATCAGCATATCTCTTTAAATTATAGAATCTTGTGTATGTGTGTGTATGTCAATTGTTAAACATAATTATTTAATTCATTACATGGTATTTTTTCACAATTTTTTTTGCTTATATACAGAAATATGATCAATGGAAGGAAGCAATACCAGATCTAGGATGGCTAGAAAATCTGATGCCTACGGAAGAACAGTGGCAAGATTTTCGCGGATCGTTGATTGCAGTTAAAAATACTGTGGCCGACAAGATTGAAATTGGTCAGTATGACAAATACATAACTCCTTATATCTGTGAAAACATGAAGCAAAGAAAATAGGTTAAAAACTCATGGTAAAAACTTGATAAATAGATCCACGAATAAAGGAGTATGGACTAACTAAATATCAAGAATACAGGACGTGGTTTGATCAAAGACTGGATGATGCTATTAAGGCAGCAGAAAATCGTCAAAGAGATCTAGAAAATAATTCCATACAGAGTGAGTGATCAGTGAGACTATTATGTTTATCATTACGTAAAATTTTATGTTGCATGTTATTCCTAATTTTCCTCCATAATTATTTATGACATATCCTGTCCTACAATCGATTTCTCTATTATTATTCTCTATTTATCTACTTACTTGACGTTTTTCTACGTATCAACAATTCTGGCCATTATGAGAACATAAAATTAGTAAAGCTATTATCTTTTATACTTACAACACTTTTCGTCGCTTTATAGTATGTTTATACACAGTCTGCATTTAAAATTATTGCCTGTGTGCGCAATTTATATGGAACTGCTTATAGAACATTATTAATATATATATATATATATATATATCTCTAAGTTTGCTTACTTTTATATATATATCTAAATTTGCTTATTTTTAAATATTAATTAAACAGTTTATATTTTCAAAGCGCACATTGTGCTTCACAGATGCATATCTATTATAAGTTTATTATGGTCTGTTCTGTTCAGGTGCAATTAACACCATCTCAATGGTGGCTAAGAAAGCTTATTCAGGTGTGTAAAGAGTCTGAGATTATTATTGTTTTAGTACACGTTTTTCTGTCCATTCAGCATTTTGTAGCTGAACAACTTACAACCAAAGAATCCAAATATGAGATATTTTGCTGATAATAATGTTAAAGAAATAAATATTTTTAGGTATTATATATAGTAATAATTAATGGACATAATAAGTAATAATTATATGTTAGAACTTTAAATACTGAATGGGATAGAGCCATTGATCATTGCTTCTCATGTTATGTTCTGCATTAAGTTTATGCGTATTTCATGGTACGAATTTTCTCTTATTTAATCGAATTATCTCATTAAATCACGAAGGACATCTCATGCACGATAAATTCCATTAATTTCATACGATATCAGTTAATACCAGCTTTCTTGCATTTACAGAATAAAATATGAACGATTATGAATTATAAATACACATGACATTTTGTTTTTAAACAGAAACAAAAGATCAGTTGCCAAATAAGGTTGCCTTTGCACGTCCATTGGCTAGCGATAATACCGAAGAGGAACGTAAGAAAGCTAGTACGTAGATGTCGTCGTAACGTGACACTGGACATTTTCCTATGCATATGTATAAAATGTCTCTTGCATTTTCATCGTAATATTTTGTCGGTTTGAAGAATACTCGAGAGGCGATGCCATGTCGGAGGATCCGATGCAGATGCTACTGAAGTATCAACGTGAATTAGAGCGATTAGAAAGAGAGAACAAAGAGCTACGTAAGCAAATGCTTCTACGGGGGAATCAGAAATTCAACGAGAAGAAGATTAAAGTAATAAGCTTGTATAGTAACTGCATGCACATTGGCTTGTTTGTCTACTTGCCTCATTGCTCAGATCGATCTCATTTTTGCAGAAATCTTTGATTGATATGTACAGCGATGTCTTGGATGAACTCAACGACTATGATAGTGCTTATTCCACTGCTGATCATTTACCTAGAGTGGTAGTTGTCGGTGACCAAAGCTCAGGTAAAACATCCGTACTCGAAATGATCGTTCAAGCAAGAATATTTCCGAGGTATGTTTTTTTCTTTGTATTATTATATTATATGTGATTATAGGTAGTAATTGCGATAATATCCATTAACATGTTGACACAGAGGAGCGGGTCAAATGATGACGAGAGCACCAGTTAAAGTCACGCTGAGCGAAGGACCGTATCATATAGCACAATTCAAGGACAGCTCTCGAGAATTCGACCTTACGAAAGAGTCGGAGCTAGCCGAACTACGGCGTGAGGTGGAGTTGCGAATGAAAAATAGCGTTAAAGACGGCAAAACAGTCAGCCCGGATGTCATATCTATGACGGTGAAGGGACCGGGCCTTCAACGAATGGTTCTAGTCGATCTACCTGGTATTATTAGTGTATGTACATGACGCATTTCTATACATTTACGATCAAATTCTGTACCATTTTTTGTAACTTTTTAAATCGCTATAAGACAGTCAGTAACCATTAACATGGCAGAGGATACTCGCGAGGCGATCAAACAAATGAGTCAACAGCATATGAGCAATCCTAATGCTATCATTCTTTGTATACAAGACGGATCTGTTGACGCGGAGAGAAGCAATGTGACCGATCTAGTAGCTCAAATGGATCCATCCGGCAAAAGAACGATTTTTGTCTTGACAAAAGTATGGATTCTTTCTCTCTCTTAGTAGATTAAATGCACAATTAAAAGAAAAGTAGACTGCGAGATCATCAGACACAATTGTTATTTTACGACAGGTTGACATGGCAGAAAAAAACTTTGCCAATCCTGAAAAATTGCGCGAAATATTGTCCGGTAAACTATTCGCCATGAAAGCATTAGGCTACTTTGCCGTAGTGACCGGTCGTGGCGGACAGGATGACAGTATACAAACGATCAAAGACTACGAGGAGCAATTCTTCAGGAATTCCAAACTCTTCAAGTACGAATGATATCAATATAAACAGAGTAGTTTCTATGTCCAAGCACTCTAATATCTATTTATTCTCTAATTTCATGGGTATTGCTCATATATTCAGATACTACCTAAGATAATTGAATATACCAGATAATTAGATATACCCTAGTAGTACCTAAATATTGACTACTTTAAATAAATAGTTTTAGTAAATGAGAAAATATATTACTATATGTATTACTAGCAAAAATTAAATATATTATACTAAGAAAAAATATATTTTTTAAGAACATTTAAGAAAAAGATTTTTTAAGAACATTAAAAAGTTTTAAAAGCTTTTTAAAAGTACATTCTTTGTAATAAGTATTTTTTTCATCTAGAGACAATTTAGCAATGTCAGGTCAAGTAACTACCAAAAACTTGAGCTTAGCTGTAGCTGAGTGCTTCTGGAAAATGGTACGCGAAACAGTAGAGCAACAAGCTGATGCATTTAAAGCCACGAGATTTAACTTGGAAACAGAATGGAAGAATAATTTTCCAAGGTAATGTTTTAAATAATATTGTATACATGGAAAAGAAGATGTTTCGCGCCTAACTGTTGTCTAGTCGATTTATTTCATGGTGTACAATTCAGGTTAAGGGAATTAGATAGAGATGAGCTTTTCGAAAAAGCACGTGGTGAAATTTTGGATGAGGTTGTAAATCTATCGCAAGTATCACCAAGACACTGGGAGGAGGTGTTGATGGCGCGAAATTGGGAGAAAGTCAGCAAACACGTTTTCGATAATATCTACTTGCCTGCTGCTCAAAGCGGAAATCCAAGTATAACATTTATATATCGATAGATCTTATTCATAAGATGAAAACAAAATAATTTTAAAAAATTACTGTCATATTACAGGTACGTTTAACACCACTGTCGATATCAAACTCAGGCAGTGGGCAGATCAGCAACTTCCAGCGTGTAGCGTTGAAAGCGGATGGGAAAGTCTACAGCAAGAGTTCCAAAATTTTATGACACAGGCTCGACTTAGCCCGGATCATGACGGTATTTTTAACGATCTCAAGCATGCCGTTGTGAACGAAGCTATGAAGCGTCACTCTTGGGAAGAGAAGGTAGACACAATATTGTTATTTTCTCACCTTCACCATAAATTATTATGCTAATATATAATTAAATATTTATATATAATAGATATTAACAACTCTGTATGTATTTTATAGGCATCAGATATGCTACGTGTTATTCAACTTAACACTCTGGAAGATAGAAGCGTAAACGACAAGCGCGATTGGGATCAGGCAGTACGATTCCTCGAGAATTCGATTAAGGAAAAATTGGACAGTATAGAACAGACTCTGCGCAATATGTTGGGCCCCAATCGCAAAGAACGATGGCTTTATTGGCAATACCAAAGTGAAGAGCAGCAGCAACGTGCAGCCGTGAAGAACGAACTGGATAAGATTCTTTATACCGATAAAGTATGTATATCAAAGTAAAGTATGTGTGCAAAAATCTTCAGTAGAATTTTTTCGCAGTTGCTGTCTCGCGGTATCAATTGCATCGTAAATCAATCCCTGATTACAGAAACATCCACCTAAGTTGACGCGTGACGAACTCACAGCTGTCAGGAAGAATTTACAACAGAATGGCTTAGAAGTTAATAATGAATTTATTCGAGAGACGTGGCATCCCGTGTATGAAAGATTTTTCCTGCAACAAAGTTTAGCGAGAGCTTACGATTGCAGAAAAGGATATTATTTATATCATACCGGGCATGAGAACGAGGTAAGGTAGAGAAGGCAGTATATAAAGTAGTATGTTTACGATTTAGACAACCGCTGTTAATATTTAACACTGATATTCTGCTTTCAGATGGAATGTAACGACGTAGTACTCTTCTGGCGAATTCAGCAAATGTTAAAAGTCACCGCGAATGCACTTCGGCAACAAATCATGAATAGAGAAGCTCGAAGACTGGAAAGAGATATTAAAGACGTTCTGGAAGATTATAGTCAGGACAATAAAATTAAGAAAGAGTTGCTCACTGGCAAACGAGTCAAATTAGCTGAAGAACTCAGTATGTATATCGCAATATCTTTATTACTAATTAATAAATATGTTAAATATAAATATGTTAGGTCTCAGCATATAAAATTTATTAATTAAAAATAGCAGTATAATAAATTCTAAGGCTGTATTTCTCATAATACTAAATTTTAGAATCTGTTATCCTTGTTAAATTACTCCTTGTTAGTGTTTCGTTTTTATTTTCAGAACGAGTTAGACACATTCAAGAGAAGTTGGAAGAGTTCGTCAAAGCATTAAATAAAGAAAAATAAGCGTAGTAATCTAAAAATCGGGCATTAAATTATATGCAGATTGTAGCTAGAGTTACTTGCAGTTTGAACGAGGAAAATATGACGGGCTCGTTAGGAATTAATATTTTGGAATAATGATACACGTGGAGGAATAGATAGCACGTTTCTATAATTTGAATTAAGAAGCGACTGCCTATTGGAGTATCGATGTTACAGTTCACTGAACATAATCACCACATATAACTGACGTATTCATGCGCTTAACCTAAGTTTGTGTGATATAGGTAGCCAACGAAAATCTCTACATTCTCTCAGTGAAATTTGTAAATAGGAGACTAATATATATAATCGTAAAATGAAAAATTCTTACATGAATATACTAAGAGTAACATTGCAATTATTTGATAAATAAATGTATTGCAATGAAAATGCAGTAGTAACACAGCCACAACAAATGTTGTGGTAGAAAATTTAGTATATCAGAGCATCGCTGCTATCATTGCGACATATTACACAAAATCGTGAATAGTGACTCGTAATTGTGATAATTTGATGCACTTAATTCCTTCGGAAAAATGTGTGCAAATAAATATATATGTTAAAAATTATCTAAATTATTGGCACTATAAATATCTTTATCTTATATAACAACGTTTTTTCGCGGGAACAATCAACTTTGTTCTTTATCGCCACCATATAAATGAAATGATAAATATTGTATTGACAATGAATAAAGCGAATTATTATTGAGAATTATTGAAGAGGAATAAGTAAAACAAAAAATAATAAGCAGAAAATCAAAGGAATATTCATGTGATGTCGATCCTACTTATTTAATCAACATTTTTCAAAAAAAGTTAATTAATTTGAATATTGTATAAAATTCAATGGAAATAAATTTATATAAGAACGGCAAGCGTAATATAAAAACAAGAATTATTGTTAAAGATATTTATTAGTCTTTAAAAAATTAAAAAGTCAAACACTTAAGATTATGCTTAAAATATAAACAACAGTCAAATTATATGTAACTATATATATATATATATATATATATATATATATATATATATATATATAGAGAGAGAGAGAGAGAGAGCTTTAAATTTTTAAGTTATCTATTTCTACTTTTTAAGGATTAGTAATTTCTTTCTTTGAATTTTCGCAGCTGTGTCACGTGTGATTTCTCATATAAGTACCATAATATGGTCGATAATTTACTATGACTTCACTCTATTCGTTATTGTTGGTAGTACTAATTTTAATGCAGGATTCACACTGTGTCCGATGTCCGACGTACAACGTCCGATATCCAATAGAAGAACAGTTTTCTAATAGAGAATTCAATTCTCCATTGGAAAGCTGTTCTCTTATTGGATATCGGATGTCGTATGTCGGACATCGGACGCGGTGTAAATTTTCCATAATGGAGGATTCACACCGCGTCCGATGTCCGACGTATGACGTTCAATATCCAGTAGAAGAAGCTTTCTAATATAGAATTCAATTCTCTATTAAAAAGCTATTCTTTTACTGGATATCGGACGTCGTACGTCGGACATCGACGCGGTGTGAATCCTGCGTAAGTTATAGCGTGTTTGACTAGTCCTGGGTTAATCGCTCAGAGAGCGATTAATGACGTCATAGTCTCTACTAGCCAATCATAAAGCTTATAAGTACTTGTTCGACCAATAAACGTAGACTGAATAACCCAGAGTGGGTTATTCAGTCAGCCAAAGCCAATCGAACATGCTATTAATGGCTTGGTTTACATCGTGCACTTGATACGCGTATTAAATAGTAACTTTCTATTAGATAATCTTAATTATATAAATAACGGTATATTAAGCTGGTATAATCCTGATTAAGCAGACTTATTGTATCGATTGAATGCGTCATCGTTGATATGTATTGTCAATATTAAGATTATTTAATAGAAAATTACTATATAGTACGCGTATAGTGCAAGTGCACGATGTAAACCAAGTCAATGTAAAGCAAATGGTTTGTTCTTTTTAGTTGTACTGCTGAACTAGTGCAATAAGTTAAAATGAGACCAGTATATTTTTTCTCACTCTAGCTTATTGCACTAGTTCAGCAATGTAACTAAAAAGAACAAACTTATTTGCGATAATCGCAGTGGTAACATGGCGAGCGTTCCGTTACACGCTCGCAACGCTGCTAGTGTCATTCTATCTTTATTTAACATCCATGAGCAACAAAGATAGAATGACGTTCGCGAGCGTTGCGAGCATGTAACGGAACGCGCCCATGGTTGCCACTTGTGAGCGTTAATGGACTTCAATATCGTCTCAATATTATATGCTAATACATATATTAATGTAACACAATTTTGTACTATTTCCAGACAATTATTCGTGTTTGTTCTTTCATTTCTTTATTATATTACTATTATGTAACATTTAAATTACATGCCTCATATGATCTAACGGTGTATCCAATAGTAAGTTTATTTTCTAATGACACTAGATCATGACATTTCAAACAGTTAAATTTCAATGACATTACAAAGCTAATTTTAATTAATAAAGTTTTAAAGTCGTATAATTACGAATAGAAAAGCTGCTACGATCCCTTCTATAAATATTGAATCAAATAACTCTTGCATTTATCGCTTGTTCCGAAACTAGTTGAAAATGGTTATCTACTCTCGATCGCACGGGGAATATCGGATGATTCGATTATGGAAAGTCAAAGAGCAGGGATGTCCCGTCCTCTTACGGAAAGTACAGTGCTTCCTTGTCAATGTACATATAAAATTTCAAAAAGTTACTGCAATAGTTGAACTCATCAAGTTGCGCACGTACAAGTTGTGTTAGTGTTCTATTACATTAATAATGTTATATACTTGACGAAATCTTACTATTTTTTAAACAAACTTATTTATTCAATTATAGGTTATATTGGTCATTCAAAGGGGGACTTTACCTTGAAACACAAAAGATGCCAATAACATTCTGAGATCAGTAAAGAGATAAGAGTGTCAATGGGTCAGACTTAATAATTTAAAACATTGTCGACTACAACTAATTTATTAGATAAATTAATAAATTTTTATAAAAAGTAGAAAGAAACACATTGGATAGAACTATTGGGTTCACGAAACTGACAGAAGTCAACATATAAAGAAGATTGGGAAATTTGTTGTGCTATTAACAAATAAATTTGATATCTACGTTTAAAAAATAGCACCTAAATGGATATAAAGAAATCTGCTGAATCAACAAAGGAAACATGTTCCTTGCCAAACAAGCCACTGGAATGTATACGCAAATTTCCATTAATACAGCAGTTTCCTAGTACGATCAAGGAATTCAATTCTGAGCCATGGTCAAAATTGAATATCAAGTATCTTTCTACTATTGCTACAGGTGGTGTAAAAGATGGCAAAAACAAATCTAACTTGAGCTACTCAAATATTCCATGTAAAAAATTAAGAATTGTATCTCCCAATGGTAAAGACTTGGGAGAGTTCAATGTGGAAATGCGAGGTGAAACTTCATCAAAAGGTCAAATATATACTATCACTAAGTCTAATATGTTAAAGTCTGATTTAAAACCAGTAATACTCACTCTAAATCCATTGGCAAAAAAAACAGTACCACGTATACTTAGGCAACCACCTATGAATCTAATAAAAAATAAAATAGCAAAAATAATGTCTGCTGATAAAAGTTATTTCATAAAGAATGATAAATTAAATGTATCTCCAATGGAACACATAACGCTCAACGGTAATAGTCAAACCATGAATATCAGTGAAGAAATACAAAGTTGTGATGAAATGAAAGATAGTGGTAATAATATATTAATTCCTGGAAATGAGACAGATCAGAAATCATCTTTAGATTGCACTGCTGATGATAATAGTCAGAAGCATTCAGAGATAAATCACACACTTGCTATGTTGGCAAAAAGTTTTGAAGATACAACAAATAATATAAATACTTTATTGAAAGCTGATAAAATCAGAACGTCAACTACTCTGCTGAAAAACAATGAAGTCTCTTCAACTAAAAAAGATATAATTTATAAGGAAATCGCCGAATCACCATTCCCTAAAGTGACTTGTGAGAGGATTGTAGTTCTTAATGATAACATACCAACAAATAGTGAAGTACCTAAGAGAAAAAATGTCTCTACTACAAAAATTACAAAAAAAAAAACAGGTAGATCTCCAAGTAAAGTATTAAATTCTATAGGAACCTATAAACAAAAAGTTATATATCCAAATAAAAAAGGCAATACTAAAACAAACAGCAAGAACAATTCTAAAAATCACAAAAAGCAAATAGTATCTTTACGAAAAAGAAATAATATGCCCCAAAATAATTCTAAAGTAATCCACAAAACAAAAAAAATACATAAAACAAGAACACAAAAGATGACAATTGACACAAGAACACAAAAGAAGAACATTATGACAATTGTACCAAGTCACAATAATTTTTCACTTAACAAGAATGCAGTTTCTACATTGGAACACAGTAAATATCATACAACTTTGAAGAAAGTACTTGACCATAAAAACTCATTACTAGGTAATGATGTACAATTTGAAAATTCAGAATCCAGAGACATCATTGACATGTTTGGTGTAGACATTCAATCAAATAAACGAAACAAAGATTGTTCTAAGGACAACTCATCCCAAAAAGATATATCAGAACAGTGGGATGTTATCAAGAAGGCAGTAAATAGCGTAAAGGATGAGGAACTGCGTGCACAGGCATTAAAGGCATTAGCAGACTGTGGTATTGGTGTTGAGAGACTTGTACCGAAACGTCCACCAGAGAATTTAAAAGCTGTGCATGACACACAAGTGCAGACTACAGTATTCGGATTACTCGATCCAAAATTTTTCTTGTTAATGAACAAAGACGTAGAAAGTATTCAAAAAATACAACAGATAACTCTTCACGATTCACTTCACACACAAGACTTATCATCACAAAATAATTTAATTTCTGACATTATCCAGCAACCTGCTATGTCCAAGAATTGTGACGTGATTGAAAAAGAGAGCGACTTCGACATAGATAGTTTCATAAATCAGATCTGTGATGAAAATTTAGGCGCTCTCCAAGTGAAAGAAACCTTATCAATGACAAATACGAAGTATCAAAAAATTATAGACCAACTACAAAAAGACTTCGAACTTATTAAAAAGTACGATGAAAACGGCATGTTAAGCATACATAACGCAATTGTAAAAAATAACATCTTCGACGTTCAAAGATACTTAATGGTGCTCAAGCAGTCCAAAGAAAGCGTCGATATAATGACCATGGATGGAACGGTAAATTTAATCGCTTCTTTCATATCTATCTTGAATTTAATTCTGTTTAATTTTACAAGAGACACCACATAACGAAACTGTTTTACGCATTTTGCAGACAAGTTTGGAGTTGGCGATAAAATATGATGTACGCGGCGATATCGTGAAGCTTTTACTACAGTCGGGAGCGCAACCAGTGAGAATGCAGCCTTTGCATGAATCAGCACTGATTATAGCCGCTAAACAATCGTCAACGTTACTGCCGATGCTTGTTAATTACGTCTCGGATCCGAAGCTTCTAGATCAAGTTGATTCAGAAGGTAAAATCATTTATGCATATGACGTTTACATTTGTGAAGGTAGTTGCATGAAACACCGATTCCGTTAAAACATAATTTGATCTATTTACATCTCTTAAGGATTCACGCCATTGCATTATTGCTGCAAACACGGCAATGTAGAAGGAGTCAATGCACTGTTATCAGCTGGTGTAAATGTCAATCTGAAAGATATGAAATCAGGACGAACGTCACTGTTTCATGCTCTGGAAAGTGATAATATAGATAATCGAACGAAAGTGGTGCAAAGACTTTTACAAGCTGAAGCTACTACAAGCATTATGAATTTCGCGGGGCAACCGCCACTGCCTCTGCCAAGCGATGAAAAGAGATCGACTTTTATGATGTCATTGAGAAAATCGACGAAAATGTCTTTGCCTTCGCGATATTTGCTTTGAAGTGAGTTTAAAATATTTATTAATGCATTTAATACAAAAAATTGCCACTTTCTAAAATGATTGCAGCACTACCATCTAGTAATTTAAGTCACCTTTTGTCACTTTTTGTTAAGTCACTATAAAAACACTATCGTTTAAAGTGAGTCATTATAGTCATCTTTTCTTTCTGCTGTTAAAACATAGGTGTTCTATTTTGCCGTCTGCTGCTGAAAAAAAATTTGTTTTAATTTAACAATTATTTTATTTTTTACAAATCGATCAATTTTGTTTAGAGTTCTGGTAGAGTTCTGGTCTCTCGAAGAGTTCTATCAATCATTCTTATGATTTGAATCAGTATAAGCAAAAACAAAAAAATTCGGACTCATCTTAGCGAGGGGTTGCGTGAAATTGGCTCCACATTGTTCAAATAGCATTTTGATTGCTTAAATGCCAGAATTGTTTCTAAAACCGATTGAGAACTGTAGAACTATCTTCAGAGGGCAAATAAAACTTTAATCGTTTTTCTCTAATTCTGAAAAGGGGCTAAAAAAAATATACACACACACACACACACACATATATATATATATATATTCTATATAGTCACACATATATACATATTATTATATAATTATATATGTCCACACAGAAAAAAATTATGTTAAATGAAAGAGAAAAAATGGTTTCATTTAATTAAACATCGACATTATGTTCTGTCAGAAGCATAAGCATTTACTTCAATTGTATTTGTATAACAGTATTTTTTTCATTGTGAACATATGTATTATGTACGATTATATGTATATAGTCATATCAGTAAGGTGACGCTCGATTTTTCACCCTTTGTCCTGAATTTTTTCAAATATTATTCGGGACACCGACTTGCCATCATTTTCAATGATCGTCAAATAATTTTCGGATTTTGTAACCCCCCGTCCCCCGCTTCACACATTTATGAAGTGTCCCCAATTCAGAGCTGAAAAATCTGATCACCTTACATATAGGGACAAAAGGAGGATATGTAAAAGTGACCAATTTCTTATTTCTACAAAAGTCATCATAAACACTAACTCATGAGTGATAACTTTATTCACTCTTCAGATTAATTATGTATGATATCCTTTTCAACATCATTCTGAAAAATTATTAATCAATTTGCACAATTACAACTGATAGCCTAATTATATTATCTTTTACAACTTTGATATAAGTACAGTGTCGTAAGAGACGCCCAATTTTCGATTTGGTTGTTTCTCTTAACTTTAATACTAACTTAACTTTAATACTAAATAAAGAAATATTTGTTTCTAATGATTGAAGAAAAAAAGAATGAAATAGAATAACTGACAATTCCAGTAAAAAAACAAAATTTAAAGAAAAATGGATTACTCTTACACACTATATAAACGAGCATAGCCATAAGAATGTTTTGTGCATATGAATGCGGCAGTAACCCATACAGGTAATGTTAATTTTAATATAGATTAAGTGATATAATTTGTAATATATAATATAAGAGTTTGTATGTCGCTGATAATGATAATGATGGCGATAATGTTTTTGATAATGATGATTTTACATTGAAGACTTATATAGAAGACTTACATAGCAATATTAAATTTTATTACTATATATAAAAAATTATGATTATTATAATTTTGTTATTGTTAGTATATTGTATGTGTATATAAAAAATATTTTAACAAAAATTTCCTAATGAAATTGTAGATTTAAAAATAGATACACTCTTATAATGGGAATTTAATATATTTATTTTATATATATTTTATTTATTTTTATTATATTGCTATCTACAATGTACTATCTAGAAGGATAAAAGTTCATATTTCTATTTATATATATTTTAAATATGAAAGATATAAGTATACAAATAATCTCGCCTTTGTAATATTAACACAAATATATTTTGTCATTTTTCAATTATAATTTAACTATGAAATGTTCCATTCTTATTTGTTTTTCTCTTCATTTATTGATCTTTCTGAAATATTATTAGTGAATTATTATTCTGAATTATTTATCAACCATATTGTTATTCAATATTTTTTGACTAAAATAAGTGTAAAATTTATAATTATATATCAAGTGTAAAATTTATAACTATATATCAAGTGTAAAATTTATAATTATATATCATTATATACAATTATAATTATTTACTCTTACTACTTTATTCTGATATTTATATAATTAATATAACTTTATAAAATATGTAATTTATATTGTCACAATTTCTTTCCACTTTAAGAAATTATGTATATATTTACATCGAAAATATATGTTATAATATATTATTTCCTAAGCAACCTAAAAGTTTTTTATATATACATGTATTTCGGATATAAAAATATTTTTAAAAATATATACACGGTGGGCCATTTTACGAGACCCACCCAAATTTCTCCATAAGTAAGCCAGATATAGAAAAATAGTTAAAACAAAACTTGTTCAGGACAATGGGGGTTATCTTTGTCAATAAATAAATTTGACCTTGAGGTCAAATTTCAAGGTCATTTGGAGGTCATAGTGATTTTTTTAAATAGGACCGCCTACTTTTGACACCGGATTCGAAGAGAGCGGGAAATTTTACGTCAGAAATAATATTTTTAAATTTTTTATTTTGACCTTCAGAAGGTCAAATCAAGATTTTAAAAACGCTCAGAAGCTGTTTGTTTAAATGCGATTATCTTACTTTTAGTATTACCCAGAAACAACGACGTACATGTATATAGAAACAACAACGTAGTAAGTTCTGTTTCCTTTGGGGTGCTTGATTATCGTGAGTCCCCTTGCCTCTCACGTTTGGGGTGCTTGTTTACCGTGAGTCCCCTTGCCTCTCACGTTTGGGGTAAAATTTACGTTTAAGTTACATTTTAGTAATCGTTCATCTTACTATTTTTTCTTGAGTATTTTTTGTGGTTGTTAACATTTTTTCTTATTTAATTTCATTAAAATTAAAACTCAATAGTGAGAGGCAAGGGGACTCACGGTAAACAAGCACCCCAAACGTGAGAGGCAAGGGGACTCACGGTAAACAAGCACCCCAAAAGAAACAGAACTTACTACGTCCACGTCGTTATTTCTGGGTAATGCTAAAAGTAAGATAATCGCATTTAAACAAACAGCTTCTGAGTGCTTTTAAAACCTTGATTTGACCTTCTGAAGGTCAAAATAAAAAATTTAAAAATATCATTTCTGACGTAAAATTTCCCGCTCTCTTCGAATCCGGTGTCAAAAGTAGGCGGTCCCATTTTAAAAAAATCACTATGACCTCCAAATGACCTTGAAATTTGACCTCAAGGTCAAATTCATTTATTGAGAAAGATGACCCCCATTGTCCTAAACAAGTTTTGTCTTAACTATTTTTCTATATCTGGCTTACCTATGGAGAAATTTGGGTAAAATGGCCCACCGTGTATATTAATATTGTATGTGTATGTATTATATACTACCGTTCAGACCTCCTAAAGGCGGGATCACAAAAGCTCAGTAACAGTAGTGACCAGCGTAGCAGTCAGTCAGAGTCGGGTACCGGGATCGGAAGTCCAAAGATAGTCCTTATCTCCAAATTCCATTTCTCTAATTCACTAATTCTAAACCTTAGTTTCCTCTAACCTTAAGCAATTAACTTTAGGTTATCTTTAATATTCTTAAACATTTACGAGCGTTTTATTCTAATGCATAATTCTTTAGTTTGTTAAACAGTTCATTTTAGTTATTTCGTCACTTCCGTTACTCTAACCATATTTAAGATATCTTTGTGAGCATATTATACAGGGTGTCCCGCGTAAGACGGATCAAAAGAAAAATATAAGTAGAACACATAAAAGTGAACAAAAATTGTATAGGTCATTTTTCAAATAACCACGTAAAATTTCGAGATATTAATTAAAATAGTTGGACAAATTAGAACGCGCGATGCGACAGGCGGGACATACGGCTCGCAGCGGTCAGCGAAGAAAATGGAAGAACGCACACGTACCCGGACGCACACACGGAGCTACTCATTTCAGTATGCCAAACGGCCCACCTCTCTGGCCTATAAGATAGGCCCGCGAGCAATCATCCATTTTCTTCGCCGGCCACGGCGAACCGTATGTCCCGCCTGCCGTGTTGCCGCGCTCTGATATGCTCAACTATTTTAATTAATATCTCGAAATTTTACGTGGTTGTTTGAAAAATGGCCTATATAATATTTGTTCACTTTAATGTGTTCTACTTATATTTTTCTTTTGGTCCGTCTTGGCGTGGCGGGACACCCTGTATATCAAGAATTATACAATACACATTATATATATATATATATATATATATATATATATATATATATATATATATATATATTATCTGTAGTAATTCTATTTCTACTCCCTCCCATTCGAACATCCTTACACGGCACATTTCTTCCTACGCCTAAGCGAAACCGCGACGTGCGGTGTTCCTCCCTAGTGCCCATCGGTCAATTACAAGTGATTCGAATATTCAAACTCGCCGCGCGATCCAGAACGAGTTCCCTAGAGTCGGCAGCATCTAGAGGTCCAGGAGGTGCCGATCCACGTAAGCCACGAGAGCGCCATCCAGGGATACAGAGAGCAACCGCACGGTGGACGACCACTGGTAAGTCATTATCTACATTATTTCTGTACGCGCGTAACTACGATTAAAGCCTGCGACTGTCCGACCCACCGTAAGGTTATATTACGATGGTTATACTACGCGTTTTGCGCGAAATCCATTGCGATTACCCTTGATCGCACGGATCCCGAGGTAGAATCACGCGATTCGTTTAGCCCGAAAATTTGCGATCTAATCCCGTTTTAGGGTTCGAGCGCTATTCTTCACGGCAGCATGACCGCAACCCGCCGGGACGTAACACTAGTAATATATTTGATGAAGGAAACGGACTTTCTCACAAATTTACCTGAATCTTCATATTTTGTTGTATAAAACATGAATATGAAAGTTAAAATCGTTGATCGTAAGTAAAACAAAAGTTATAAAGTAAAAACTTATTAAAATGTAACTTAAGTATTTCATCATTGTATAATGGTACAACCACTTCCACATAGTTTTTTAACCGAAGTATTGTTTTTTTTATTGATCCAATCATTACGGAAAAATACTTTTCTAATTCTTCTTTATATAAGTTATTTGTTTCGTTATCATCAAAAACATCTAATGAAACTAATATTTGAGCAAATACACAAACAATTTCCTTATCTTTATCCTCCATTTTTACGCTCACAATTGCTTACAACAGCCAAAGGAAACGGTTTTGATCTTTTCGATGAGTGCGCTTAGAAATCAAAGTAACCTTATAAGCGTGAGCGCTTTAAATATGTGAGCGTCCAAAACGAACGCACCCATAGTCAAAGGTCAGATCTTAGGGTGCGTTTCCACTTAGCACGTTATGCGTCGCGTCGTCCTTCGCGGACCAAATCGTTCCATTTTATTCGTCGTAAAGTTAGACAATAAAATGGGACGATTTGATTAGTCCGCGAAGGATGATGCGACGTGTGATACGCTAATGGAGGATTTTCACCGCATCCGATGTCCGATATCCAATAGGAAAACAGCTTTCCAATGGAGAATTGAATTCTCTATTAGGAAACTGTTCTTCTATTGGATATCGGACATCGTTCATCGGATATTGGGCGCGGTGTGAATCCTGCATAAGCAAGAACTCAGCCTTATATTTAAGACCGTCTTATAACATGTTCGACTGGCTCTGGGTTAACTCTGGATTATTCAACCTAAGTTTATTGGTCGAACAAGTAAGCTTTATGATTGGCTAGTAGAGACTTATGAGGTTTGTCGAGTTACTTGTACTATTCACACTTGGGTGTATATCAGTTGGACACGGGGCAATTGGACACAGTCCAATCACAAGTCGCTGTTCCAAGGGGCCTTACAAATGTCTAATCACACGGTGCTGTGATTGGCTGTGTCCAAATGCACCGTGTCCAAGTGCACCGCTCCCTTCACACTTTTACACCTAATGCCCGTTGCACACTAGTGCACCTCAAACAACACAAATTTTTTAAAATACATTCTGAAGACATTTTCAGGACGAAAGAACGTCATCAGAGTATTCTTTGGAGGACGTTCTTTAAAGGTGTGAATTGTCTGAAAATAGCTAATGTGCAGTAAGTTTATTCGTATTAATTGAACTTTTTACACTTTCACACTTAGTGCACATTAATTCTTTATGGCTTCTGCACACAGGACGCGGTAATGCTTGCCGCGCGGCAGAAGTCCGCGCGACAGCCAATCAATATAGTGCTTTCTGTAATAATCTTCTAGCTCCTACGGAAAAACATATTGATTGGCTGTCACGTGGACTTCCGCCGCGCGGCAAGCATTACCGTGTCCTGTGTGCAGGAGCCATTACACTCGTAACACGAACGGAAATCATGACGTCATTTTTAGAAACTCTAAAGAATTAATGTGCACTAAGTGTGAAAGTGTAAAAAGTTCAATTAATGCGAATAAACTTATTAGATATTAGCTATTTTCAGACAACTCACATCTTCAAAGGACGTCATAAAAATATTCTGATGACATACCTCCGTCCTAAAAGCATCTTCAGAACGTATTTTAGAAAATTTGTGTTGTATGAGGTGCAGTAGTGTGCAATAGGTGTAAAAGTGTGAATAGTACAAGAAACAGGCATTAGGTGTAAAAGTGTGAATAGTACGAGAAACTCGAACAAACCTATGACGTCATTAATCGCTCTCGGAGCGATTAACCCAGGGCCAGTCGAACACGCTATAAGATTCGACTATGAATACTAGCCCGAGTATTCACTGAGCGTTTTTATCTGCTGAACATGCCCATTGGTTCTTGTTAGATTCCTAAATCTAGACCAATTACATTGACGAATTGTTCTATTGTTGTGCGACTATTGAGTTCGTTGAACGCACCCAATGGCTGACCCGCTAAGCTCGTCAAATTTATTCTCAAGTAGTATAACTCAACAACAAGTAATACCTTTTTGTAATGAAACAGTAGGATCCAACAACAAATTCAGTTGTCTTTTTTTTATTTACAAATAGTACAATTTAACGATAGATCAAAGAAGTCTTTATCTTCAAATAGTATTAATGATGAAAATCAAAAGACCTTTTTATTGTCAAATAATACAATTCAATAGCAGGTCATTGCCTTGTAGCGTCGTGTCAACGGTCGAGACGACGTTGCTGAGGGAGGCGTTAACAGTGGAATTTATTTGTAAGGTCGACTGTCATCAGTAACGGAGACGTAAGGATCTATCACTATCGTCATCACCGCCACCACCACCACCACTACTCTGCCGTAAACGCCACTAACCCACCACTACCTCCACAGTTCTACATCGTCGTGCCGGCGATGGAGCGTGCGTAATCCTACGGCGATGATGCTGCGTAATGTCGGCTTTTCCCCACGGACCGTTTTCAGCTACAGCACGCTCCTCGCCACCACCAGCCACGGCAGTATTCGCCAGGCACGATCTAACGGATTATCGACTACGTCGGCCGCGCCGCCACTTCGCCGCATATGATTCATAGGGATCGTGCTCGTACGACCGAGCTCAAGATTGTTTCAGGTATGTGCGTGAACGCGTAAGTGCGTTTTCACCGAGAACGTTCCGTTCGAAGACTACACCGGGGACGAGTTCGCGAGTACGTCGTACGTTACGGTAACTTCGTATACTGGATATGCGAAATGTGAGAATAAAATTGGGATATTTCAAATACTGAGTTCTAGGTAAATAATCTGTATTAATGCTGAATTACATCAAGCCTTGAGGGATACTGTGAGGCAGCTGGATCTCGACATTGAGGATTGAGAATTCGTGCATTGTCTTTGAGACTTATGCATGTTTATGATCTGTAGACAGAACACAACGTAGATATTAATTATTACACATGTATTTGGATGATGATGATTGCGCTAGAACATATTCTCATACTCTATAAACTTTATGTTTCACATAAGATTTACAGGATATTATGGAGCTAGTAATTTTTATCGAATATTTTCATGAATGTTATTATATACTTAAGAGATATATTAATTTTATATAATTTTTATGCACATGTCTCAAAGACAATAATTAATATTTTGATTGCAGTCAGTTTGTTGATTATTGTAATCTTGCAATAAGATATTTTGTAATGAAAGTAATATATATTGTTGTGCTCCGTGTACCAGAGATCAGCTTGCGTTTGCAGTCGCAAGTAGATAAAGGAAAATGAGAAACTCAAAAAAGAAGCAAAAAACTTTAATAAACTTTCTGTACAACATGTTAGAATTTGGCTCTCTCGTGTTACATTCGTTTTCAACAACTGCTCACGTTTAATTCTCTTGTCAGCTGTTTTCTCGTTGTTGAAGGTTTTCTCTTCTGTCAGCTGTCTGTGTTGTTCCTATACCGGAATGCAAAAGAAATACCACAGATGCGACAATATTGTTCAAAATTAGATCACAATTAGATCGTACTGAATGAACAATTCTGTAGTTTGAATTAAATTTAAAAAGATAATTAAATTAATAGATATTAAAAAAGATAGTTAAATATTGGTTTGTTAAAATGTATTTACTACAGATTAAGTAAAAATAACATATTGAAATATTCAAATAATACAGATGTTTGAAGAAGTAATTTGATAATTCTTTTAAACATTGTGTGATTCTTTCATATTTCTTATATGTATTCAGTATAAATAATATCAGTACTAAAAGGAAACAGATTTTGTAACAATTTATAGAATTTATACAGTCAGAGAGATCTTAGATTTTAAAATTTATCTTACTGCCTACTGCCTCTATTGATAAATTTATTTATCTGCCTTTGCTCTTTTGATATTAATGTTTTATACAACTTAATTAATAAAAAATGTATAAAGTAAATGTCCCAATGATTGAAACATTAATGATATATTTATATTTAATATTTCTAAATAAGAGCCTTTAAAATCTTATTAACAAATATTTCTTATGCTATTTTGTAATATCGTACTAATGATCATTTAATTGAGTCTATATTATTTGATAATTAAGACGTGATTAATTTTTTAGTTTAATTACTGATACAATCGACATTCAAATTATAATTAATATTTATTACTTTATATTCTACTATTTTTCAATTACTGACAAACTAAAGTTTTATATAAACTTTAGTTATGTTAGTAACTCATTAATTATTTACTAATAAAAATTATAAAAATGATCATTTATATCGATGTGACATTTAATTTATGTAATGTCTGTTCTATAGGGTTAAAAGCCAAATTTGATATAATCGAAGATGTTAGAAGTCGGCTTGAGAGTTGTTCGCGGACCAGATTGGAAGTGGGACGATCAAGATGCTGGCGAAGGCCATGCCGGCACAGTAGTAGAGATCGGGAAACCCCCATCTACAGGAAACTCGGCTTCCAGTCCAAATCCTGCCGACCGAACGCCGGACAAGACAGTAATCGTCCAATGGGATCATGGCTCCAGAAGTAATTACAGAATCGGATATCAAGGTGCTTACGATTTGTTGGTATTCGACAATGCCTCCGCCGGCGTCAAGCACTCCAATATTATCTGTGATGGATGCAAGAGACACGGGATCAGCGGCATCAGGTGGAAGTGTTCGCAGTGCTTCGATTACGACCTCTGCACACAGTGCTACATGGGCGACGTGCATGACTTAACGCATACGTTTAAGCGATTTCAAACGGCCAATGCCGTGGGGTTAGTGCTCACAGTTTCTTGCAAGACTGTACTGCGAGTATTATTGGTTTGGGCATGAGATGTTCACGATCTTGTTCACAATATTAATTTGAAATATTAATAGGGTCCAATTAACGCCAAGAGAAGGCTGCACCAAGGTGCCGTTAAAGGGAATCTTCATAGGAGCAAAGGTCATGCGTGGTCCAGATTGGGAATGGGGAAACCAAGACGGTGGTCGTGGTATGTATCACATTGTAATTCATAATTAAAGACATTGATAACTATACAAGGTTGTACACTTTACAGTAACAGTATATATATTAAAATTGAAATAGTACTAAACTAAAATGCTTAAAATTATATAAAAATTTAGCATAACATATTTATCGCAATAAAACGCATTCATAGTTAAAGCTTCATGCGATTCGTCCGCAGTGAATTATTTATGAATAGTTCCTTTAATGCGCGCCACGGAAAATCGGTTTCTTTATACCTATTATATTTACTTGTCACACACAGACTATATATTAGAGATTGAAGATTGCGAATTAGAGATTATAGAATTAATTTCTTTTCGTAATTACTTTCAACTTACTTTCAATTTTTTATCTGCAATTCTTAATCTCCAATATTTAGTCTAATACAAGCTCTAAACATACACGTACTCATGCTTGACAGCATTTACGTCATTGACTTGAGCCACAATGTAAATTCATTGCGCAATAAATTACTAATCCGGATTTTCCGGATATTTCAGGAAAAACCGGCAGGGTCATGGACATTCGAGGATGGGATAACGAGAGCTGTCGGTCCGTTGCCACTGTCACATGGTCTACAGGCAGCACAAATGTATATCGATTGGGCTACAAGGGTTGCGTGGACTTGTGCTATACGGAGGAAGCCAAGTCCGGTACTTATTACAAGGATCATCTCCCGCTGCTCGGCCAACCGGTAATGACTATACCGGATAATGGAAACAGCTCGACATCAGCCAGGGGTGGTGTCACCACTACGTCTAGTCCTCACCATCTAACGTTTAATGTCGGTGACAGGGTGAAAGTGTTGCTTGAAGTCGACACCTTAAAGGAGATGCAGGATTCAGGTCACGGCGGGTGGAATCCGCGAATGGCCGAGTGCATAGGAAAGGTATTTAACGAATGTCACTTTCTTTTCTCACTTAAAACATCGGTAGTTGAGATGTTAAAGATAACTCGAGTTTCATCAATTTCTCGAGACTCGCGAAAGTCCCGTTTCTAAAATGTGTGACACGCATAAGGAAATAAGGAAAGTTTAAACTTCATTTAACTTTAAAGTAATTTCATCGGGACGGAACTAATGTACGTTATGTGTATCTGACTGTGACTAATATATTTATTACGTAATTAAATGACTTTCTAATCGGACATCTAGATTGGCACGGTGCACCGAATTACAGACAAGGGAGACATTCGCGTCCAGTATGAAGGTTGTAATAATAGATGGACTTTCCATCCAGGCGCTTTGACAAAAGTTACCAGTAAGGACGCGTTCGTCGTCGGCGATGTGGTCCGAGTGAAGACCGATCTGACTGCCGTTAAGCATTACCAACGCGGTCACGGCGAATGGATAGATGTAATGAAAAACGTTAGTTGTGCCATCTCTCTTATGTCACATTTTATATGCAGTACCAGAATAATGAACGTGTATATGAAACCGAGAGCTTATGCTTGCAGGCTCTGGGGAAAACTGGAAAAGTAAAGAAAATCTATTCCGATGGCGACTTGCGTGTAGCGTTAGATAGTCATACGTGGACGTTTAATCCGCTAAGTGTTGTTCTTGTTCCTGCCGGGACGAACGTGGCTGCTACGCACTGTGATGCAAATATAATTAGAGATCGCTCAGGTATATTTTTTCGACGTTACAGAGTGATAATGTAATATAAATCTATTAGAAGTCAAATTAGTCAACTTTACTTTTTAATTTTAAATTAATAATCACAAATTTCTTAAGTTTTCCGTACCGAAATACTATAAATGTGTATGCTTAACTTTTCCAAATTAAGAAATTTTTTATAAAAACTAGATATAATAATAGGGTAAATGTTCACTTTAGGGGAGTCACTTTTGATCACTTTGACCTTGACATATATAGAGGTCATCCTCCTGAGTAACCTTCAGAAGGTTTTAACCGTCGCTCGTTGTTTGTTAAAAAGTTATTAACAAAAAATGTTTTAGAAATTGATCGTAATTTTTGCACACAGTGTACATAAAGATAAGGTAAACAGTGCACAGGATAAATAAATTATATTGAAAAAATTATTTATTCAATATTTATAATAAATTTATTCAGTAAAATTTCCGCTAAGTGGATAGAAATGAGCCATAATTTTAAAAAATTTATCGATTCGATTCGATCAACATACAATGGTAGTATGTGTCAGGACATGATCATAACATGATTATCAACATTGAAATCGTACATACGATCAAAACAAAACCCGCGCAATACACCCTGTGTGCAAAAATTACGTTCAACTTTTTTTTTAGTAAGTACTGCAATCTTGAACGACTAGCGGGGGGCTGCCCCCCGCACCCCCCCTAAAAACTAACCAAACCTAATCTATCGTCACATTAAGTGTCAGTCATTGTTTATTAAAGTGTTCAACTTTTGTGTTAATGTGACGATAGGTTGGGTTAGGTTAGTTTTGAGGGGGGGTGCGGGGGGCGCAGCCCCCCGCTAGTTGTTCAATATTGCAGTTATTATTCGATATTGCTCGTTAACGGTACACATTATCGAAAAATTGTAATATATTTTTCGAACTTCTTTCATCAATAACTTTTTAACAAACAATGAGCGACGTCTAAAACCTTCTGAAGGTTATTCAGGAGAATGACCTCTATAATATATGTCAAAGTCAAGGTGATCAAAAGTGACTTCCCTAAAGTGAACATTTACCAAAAAGCTTTCCTGATACCTTATATCGTTTGTGCAGCCGAAAGCACTGATAGCGAAGTAGAGAAATTGTTGAGGGATGCAGCTAGGGGCGAGGCCGGTGTTACCGCTGTACGTGAATTCC